CAGGGACATATGACACATGTCAGTCATATCACGCCTTTGACCCCCCCCCCCTCGGTCTCAGCCTGGTTATTTCCCACAGTGGCCTCATCCTGAAATATTTATCATCATCATACCTCATTTATACACTAGCACATATTACCCTAGACCAGGGGTCTTCAAACATAGCCCTTTTATGACTTGTGGACTTCAACTCCCAGAATTCCTCAGCCAGGCATGCTGGCTGAGGAATTCTGGGAGTTGAAGTCCGCAAGTCATGAAGGGGCCATAGTTCCCCCATGTTGGCTCAGGAATTCTGGGAGTTGAAGTCCACGAGACATGAAGGGGCCTTAGTTCCCCCATGCTGGCTGAGGAATTCTGGGAGGTGAAGTCCGCAAGTCATAAAAGGGTCATAGTTCCTCACACTGGCTGAGGAATTCTGGGAGTTGAAGTCCGCAAATCATAAAAGGATGATAGTTCCCTCACGCTGACTGAGGAATTCTGGGAGTTGAAGTCTGCAAGTCATAAAAGGGTCATAATTCCCTCATGCTGGCTGAGGAATTCTGGGAGTTGAAGTCTGCAAGTCATAAAAGAGTCATAATTCCCTCATGCTGGCTGAGGAATTCTGGGAGTTGAAGTCCACAAGTCATAAAAGAGTCATAGTTCCCTCACGCTGGCTGAGGAATTCTGGGAGTTGAAGTCTGCAAGTCATAAAAGGGTGATAGTTCCCTCACGCTGGCTGAGGAATTCTGGGAGTTGAAGTCTGCAAGTCATAAAAGGGCCAAGTTTGAAGACCCCTGACCTAGAACAAGTACATTGCAGGTGCTTGACCTGGCCAGGTGATCCGTTTTCTTCCTCTCAATTATGTGGGATTTGACATGTGTAAGTGGCTGTTAAACGGAAGCCAAAATTACAATCGGAGCATAATTCTCTAATATATGAGGTTGTGTCGAGGGGGGGTCACTTGTGACCTTAAAGCCTAAACTTTATCCAAACACGGTTTGGTGATGTAAAATTACAATAAACATGAAACCTGCCAAATCTTACTAGTGCAAGCATAAACCCCCAAGAACTGAAACCAAGAGCAATTCGCCCCTTGACTAACACGGTAACTCTTACAACATGCTTGTTCAAATTCTTGCAATCAACCCATTATTTGGAAAAAACGTGGCATTTTCTCACTCGGTTTTCCAGTGCTCAATACTGAAGCGTCACCTTAAATATTAAACTGGCACCCCACCTTCCAGACCCAGATAGTCCTTGGCTTACAACAATTCATTTAGCGACCGTTTGAAGTTACAACAGCACTGAAAAAGGGACTTGTGGCCATTTTTCACATTTACAACCGTTGCAGCAGGCCCTCACAGTCACGGGATCAAAAATTCAGACTTTTGGCCACTGACTCATATTTATGACGGGTGCAGTGTCCCGGGGTCATGTAATCCACTTTTGTGACCTGCTACTTTCAACAGAAAAATTTAGGACTATATTAATCAAATAACCGTGAATTATGGATTGGGGGAGAGGGGGAAACCTCACAATATCTATGCTAATACCGTTTTCCTAAAAGGGCTTCATTTCTATTTTTCGGGATTGAAAAAAAGAAAGAGAAGAATGAAGACCAATCTTTTTGTGCAAATGTAGAACAGTGCCTAATGAAATCACAAGGAAGCAGCAGGGAAATTCTACTTCCAAAGAGTAGAAAATGGGTGATTTTTTTTTCTTTAAAAATATATATATATCTAATTTTCTGCATTCAGCCCCGTTAACTTCCCTAGAACAGCATATTAATATTCTGAAGGGGGGAAAAAACCACAGAGTGAGTAATGGTGGCTAAATTACAAATAATTCTAGCCTTCTTTTCTGTGCATGGCAGCTTTCTGTTATTTCCATATATATATATATATATATATATATATATATATATATATATATATATCCACCAGGATGCTTTTAAAAAAGGGAAGAAGAAAAAAGGATTATTGCGCCAAGGAAGGCGGCATTTGCGACTTTGTGAGCCAAGAATGCGATAGGTATGGCAAAATATCAAAATGAGTGTAGTAACAATGCAATCTGGGGAAAATGTCAATGCAACTACTGAGAAAATAATGAACTACCTATGATGGTTTCAGTAAGTGAGGTCAGTTTACAAGCCCTTTGCTTTTCAAACCAATCAATCAGAATACAGCTGGAAGGGATCCTTGGAGGTCATCTAGTCCAGCCCCCTACTCAAGCAGGAGACCCTAGACGATTTCGGACAAGTGGCTGTCCGATCTCTTCTTAAAAACCTCCAGGGATGGAGCACCCAAAATGCAGTTCCGTTGGTTAATTAGTAATAGTAATAGTAGTAAAGTTGGAAGGGACCTTGGAGGTCATCTAGTCCAACCCCCTGCTCGGGCAGGAAACCCTACACCATTTCGGACAAATGGCTGTACAGTCTCTTCTTAAAAACTTCCAGTGTTGGAGCATTTACTGCTTCTGGAGGCAAGCTGTTCCACTGATTAATTGTTCTCACTGTCAGGAAGTTTCTCCTTAGTTCTAGGTTGCTTCTCTCCTTGATTAGTTTCCACCCGTTGCTTCTTGTCCTGCCTTCAGGCGCTTTGGAGAAGAGGTTGACTACTCCCCTCTTCTTTGTGGCAGCCCCTCAAATATTGGAAGACTGCTATCATGTCCCCCCTATTTCTTCTTTTTTTCAGACTAGCCAAACCCAAGTCCTGCAACCGTTCTTTGTATGTTTTAGTCTCCAGGCCTTTAATCATCTTAGTAGCTCTTCTTTGTACTTTTTCCAAAGTCTCAACATCTTTTTTTTCTAATGTGGTGAGCAAAACTGGATTGCAAAAAAGATGTTGAGACTTTGAAAAAAGTGGCAGACCCTCAAATACTGGGAAACTCCTATTATGCCCCCCCCCAGTCCTTTTTTTTCTCTCAACTAGCCATACCCAAATCCTGTAACCGTTCTTCATGTTTTTAATCTCCAGGCCCTTAATCATCTTAGTTGCTCTTCCTTACACTTCCTTTGCCTTGCACACAATTCCATGCCAAGGGTTTGCACATAGACACTAAGCCATCTTGAATCTAAATAAACATTTAATATTGATCATATTCGCCTGCTTGAGTAGATGTTGCTCTCTTTAGTGGCAGTTAAGCTTGGTAAGGCTATATTGTCAATCTCTGTGACTTTCAATAACTTATAGCTTATGCACCTCGATTTACATCCGCTCATTTAGTGATCGTTCAAAGTTACAAGGACATTGAAAAAAGGGACGTATGGCCGTTTTTCACACTTACAACTGTTGCAGCATGATCAAAATTACTGGTTCATATTTATGATGGTTGCAATGTCCTGGCGTCACGTGATCCCCTTTTGCGAACTTCTGACAAGCAAAGTCAATGGGGAAGCCAGATTCACTTAACAACCGGTTCTGCTGTAACTTCAAACGGTCACTAAATTAACTGCTGTAAGCTGAGGACTACCTATAATTGACACTCAGCAAGAGGACAAAAGCTTAAGTCTAATGTGTGAAGCAGGAGGTTGGGTTCTTAAAGGAACCCAAACTGGAAACAAAGGATTGATCTAGAGCAGGGGTCTTCAGACCTGGTCCTTGTACGACTTGTGAACTTCAGCTCCCAGAATTCCTCAGCCAGCCTCCATTTTGTTGGTTAGATTTAATACAGGGGTCTTCAAACTTGGCCCTTTGATGACTTGTGGACTTCAACTCCCAGAATTCCTAAGCCAGCCGTCATTTTGTTTGTTAGATTTAAGACAGGGGTCTTCAATCTTGGCCCTTTGATGACTTGTGAACTTCAGCTCCCAGAATTCCTCAGCCAGCCTCCATTTTGTTGGTTAGATTTAAGACAGGGTTCTTCAAACCTGGTCCTTTTACGACTTGTGAACTTCAGCTCCCAGAATTCCTCAGCCAGTCTCCATTTTGTTTGTTAAAGACAGGGGTCTTCAAACTTGACCCTTTTATGACTTGTGGACTTCAGCTCCCAGAATCCCTTAGCCAGCCTCCATTTTGTTGGTTAGATTTAAGACAGGGGTCTTCAAACTTCGCCCTTTGATGACTTGTGGACTTCAGCTCCCAGAATTCCTCAGCCAGCCCGCATACTGGTTCGCTTTTAATGTTTTAAAAGATGGTAGAAGGAATTTAAGAGCTCACAATATCAACAGCGGGAGATCACAAAGGTGCTTTTCCCCAAAGGCAACTGGACGTTCTTGGTTTGTTGGTTTATTTTTCCTTTGAAAATATTTCACTTCTCATCCAAGAAGCTTCTTCGCTTCTGTTCAGTTCAGTTCTTCAGGTCTCTTCATTGTGAACTGAAGAAGCTTCTAGGATGAGAAACGAAAAACACGCAAGAAAGTCCTTTGGAAAAAGCACCTTTGGGAAATCCATGAGCTGAATGGTTGAGAATCTCTGTAGACAAGCGTGGGGGATGCTGGGAGCTGTAGTTCAACCAGAGTGGGAGGTGAGTCCATAATAGCCAACACCATCACGATACCATCTCAACTTTTTTTTTTTTTTAATTCCTCTGCTGATCTTCCTGGGTTCAGTAATATCTAGAATCCCGAGGTTTCAGAAAAGGAATTTCTTTTTCTGGCCCGATCCACCAAATTTTCCAATCCATATTAACAAATGATTGGATAGCAATCTTTCTGACAAGGCGAAATCTATCTCTAAACTGGCAAGGGGAGGGAGAAAAATGCATACTTAAAAGACAGGGCTCTATAACTTTCCGAGATTTCGTTCAAATTGCATAACCGAGTCCCGATGTTCACCAAATCTGATGCACTTTTGAGTCGACCGCCACATTTTGAAGCTCCGACATTCGAGGTAAACCCGGAAGCGGTTTTAAGGAAGAGACTTAAGGAAAACGTTCAAATCTTTCTCCCTCGGGGACCAAATCTCAAATCTGCCCTGTTCTAGCATTTTTGCAATACTCTGAAATGACCTGAAGCCAGAGTATATATATAAGATGTTTTTCGCAGCTAGAATAGGGGAAACCCGGTCCGCCCACACGCAGCATTTTTACATCACATAAGGAAAAAAAAACAAAAAAAAAACCCCTAACCCCAAACAGTAATAAATTAAACCTTATTAAAACAGATATAAAAGTTTTTCAAGTGTAAGAAGTATCATGTAAACAGGCAGGCGGTTTGGGCCAAAAAAGCCAGGAGTTTAGCGTCTCCATTCACGGCATTCCAACATTATTTTCAGCCAATGAAAGGGGGGGGGAGAAAAACCCGAGAGAGTTATAGTTTGAGGTACCAGCGTCACCGAAACACCCGGATGGGACCAAGTCTATCAGACACCAGAGATTCCAGATAAAGTTAGACTTCAAGCAGGGGTGGGATTCAGCCATTTTGCACCACTTTGGCAGAACCGGTAGCCAATTTTTTGATGCCCAGCAGGCCCAGATGGGACTTCCAGAAGTGGCATCCATGCAGAGAACCGGTTGTTCCCGTATTTGAATCCCACCGCTGGCTTCAAGGGTGTGTCAAAGAGAGCAATCTCATTTTGTAAAATAATTTGTCGTTGCGTTGAAAGGGACCTGGATCGGAAAGGAACCGTGTGGATTACCAGAGTCCATGGGACGCCAACGCTACCCAGGAAATGTTTTTACCGTAATGGAGACATTTTGATTACTTCTCACAATAAAGTTCTTTTTTAGATGCACAAAATTTTTGGGGGACCCGCATCCCGCTCATTCGTCAAACCTCGCCCCCGATCAGAGGAACGCTCTTCTCGCAACCTGGCCTTTACTCGGCCGGGGAGGAACCCGCAACCTTCAACACCTTTGCGTAAGTAGTGCTTCCTCGACAGAGGAAGCTGGCACGGTTACAGTTCCGCTAACGGTGGACTCCGGCTGAATTCTTTAATTCCCTGAAGAATTCGCTTCATATGACCCACTTTCGTTATCCCCAGGTCCTGCAGAAGAAAGAAGACAGATTCGCTGGCTCATTGAACTTTTGGCAACAAAGCTAATTTAGAGAGCACTCATTTAAGTCAATGACTCCCTTTTTCTTCCCAACATACCAATTATTCCAGACACGATGCATTCAGACACTGAATTGTCTTTCCAAGGAAAACTCAACTTTTTAAAAAGAAGTGGCGCTGTCTATTTTCCCCCCCTGTATTCTTTATTTCTGAGATTTTAGTCTTACACTCAATAATTATACTTGATTGGTCTCTCTGGAATGGGAAATTGGGTTGTGTGTACAAAGATCCCCCCTTTGTGTCTGAAGTACAGTGTGGAATTACAGTTTTGCCGTACCAGCTTCCAATATCTAGCAGCATGAATAAAATAACCAGTAACGATCTTAAATTTTTTATAAAAAACCCAAGCATTAGGAAATCTAGCATCAAGGAAAGGTATTTCTAGTTAATGTGCTGATTATGAAATCATAGAAATGAATTATTATTGATTGTTGCTAACTATACGAACCCAGACAACACGTCATTTACTAAGCACTAAAGATTGCTATTTGTAACAAAAATCAATAAAATATATATTTTAAAGAAAGGAAATCTAGCAGAACAAAATAATTCGAAAATTTAGCAGCAAAGCCTGTCCAATATTATACATAAATACTGATGCTAGATCGTCATACAACAAAGCAGTTGACTTTAAAAAACATACGGTTGGAGGCTCAACTTTGCAGGATTTTAGTACCAGAAAGCAAGTCCCCAACCATCTATATAAAACTCAAGACCAACGTGAAACAGCCCAGGAAAACAAAAACAAAAAAATATTCCTTCAAAACCAAACTGAAACTTGCATCTTGAAATCCTCCTAAATCAGGGCTAGGCAACCTTGGCTCTTTTATGACTCGTGGACTTCAACTCCCAGAATTCCTTAGCCAGCATGCCTGGCTGAGGAATTCTGGGAGTTGAAGTCCACCAGTCATAAAAGGGCCAAGTTTGAAGACCCCCTACTCTAATCACTAACTATGGAGTCTTAGTTTTTTTTATCCCTGGGTTTTTTTATTAAAAAGTTTTATTAATAATTACATAATAAACCCAATAACCCCCCCTACCCCCCCCCCCACTTCCCGGAACCAAATACAGGGTATAACAAACATATTAAACATAATCTAAGTTAACAAATATATTAATCATACGCTAAACAAGTTTAACAATTTGTACAATTAATATCATACTTAACCCTTAACTCCCTTTAAATCTTATTATTAATAATACTTATTTTTTAATCATAAAATAAATGAAACTTTTCAGTCCCATATTTAATCTGAATATAATCTATCCATCTTCTCCATACCATAATATATCTTTCTTGTGTATGATCCTTTAAATAAGCAGAAATTTTAGCCATTTCTGCCAAATTGGAAACCTTAAATATCCATTCTTCTAATGTAGGCAATGAATCTTTCTTCCAGTATTGACCAATCAATAACCTTGCCACTGTAATTAAATTCAATATTAAAATAGTTTCTTTAACATCAAAATCCCTGGGGGTTTTGAGGTCATGCTGAACCCAATCCAAGGCTAGTGCTTGTAGCTCCTGGAGTAACTGGTGTGTTAAGTTTCAAGAGTTTTACTTGCTGCCTGGCTGAGCTCAGCTGGCATTGCAATCTCCAACTACGAGCCCTTCATTCAAAATCTAGAATTTCCACCTTAGCTGCAGTTTCCTAGTTATGTAATGCTGCCCTCCTTTGCTCATTTCAGTTAATGCTTCTACTCTCCTGTTCCGGTTTAGGACCGTCGGACAGCAGAGCAACGAAACAAGAGCTTGGAGTCTTGCCTTGCCTGGCTGTTAAATGAGATTTTGGGGGTCAATAGGATCTTCCCTGAAAAATCACCTGAAGGCAGAAATCAGGGCTCAGTTTTGTGGTTGTAAGCCGAGCATCACCTGCACGCAGACTTATATCTGTAATATCAAGCCGCGTACGGAGCTGTACGTGCATAAACACACTAAAGCTATTTACTACGATACAAAATCTGATGCAAGTAAAAAGATGATTTATCTGAGTTCCTTCTGCTTGTGTGTACATGCACTGCTTTTAGCGTTGTGCCATGCTTTGTCAATAATCTGGAAAAGTACAAATGTTAAGCACCCGTCTGCAGCTCTTTAAGGCAGCAGAGTCCTAACCCAGAATCACTCTGCTGGCCTCTGTCATCTAGGAAAAAGATGCAGTCACTTTAAAGAGCTACAAACAGACGCTATTATTATTTTTTTGCTTTTCCATGTTTCTGGAATCAAATCTATAGCTCTAATTGCTATATTGATTTTTTTTTTTTTTTTTGTATTCACTCTTTGCTCTCATTTAGGCCCCGAAACAACCGAAATGCTTGTTAACATGCAAACTGGATGTTAAATCCCTCTCTCTCTCTCTCTATCTCTATCTCTCTCTCAATCGTTGTAACTGACATTTGTGTAACTGACATTTGCAATTTAGGGTTTGACGGGAAGGCAGGAGAAGTACACATCCATCACAAATTAAAAAAACAACACCATGAAACCCAAACTGTTTGTTTGCTGGGGAGAATGAGTAAATAATGGAAGGTTGTTCTCCTGATTATGATTATTATTACTTTGTTTTGCATGTACACTGAGAGATTATGCACCAGAGACAAATTCCTTGTGTGTCTAATCACACGAGGCCAATAAAGCTATTCTATTCTGTTCTGTTCTGTTCTACATTCCTCCTATTCTATTCTATTCTATTTTCTTTATTCTGTTCTGTTCTATTTGATATTCCTCTATTCTATTCTATTCTATTCTATTCTATTCTATTCTATTCTATTCTATTCGACATTCCTCATTCTATTCTATTCTATTCTATTCTATTCTATTCTATTCTATTTTATTCTATTTTCTTTATTCTGTTCTGTTCTATTTGATATTCCTCTATTCTATTCTATTCTATTCTGTTCTGTTCTGTTCTATTCTATTCTATTCTATTCTATTCTATTCTATTCTATTCTATTCCATTCCATTCCATTCCATTCTATTCTATTCTATTCTATTCTATTCCATTCCATTCCATTCCATTCCACTCCACTCCACTCCACTCTATATTTTCTATACTATTCTACTCTACTCCACCTCTATTGGAGTACTGAACTGAACAAGCTTCTTGGATGAGAAGCGAAACATTTTCAAAGAAACCCTCCCCCAAGAAAGTCCAGTTGCCTTTTGGAAAAAAAAACAAAACACCTTTTGGGGCAACCGTGACCTGGATGATGGAGGATCTCCCCAGACCTCTTTCAGAAGGAAAACCCTCGTCCTTCTTGGTCTTCCCAGACAGAGAGAATTCAGCCTGACAGACAGCAGTTTTGGGGCGGGGGGGGGGGTGTTAACGCAGGGATGCATGTTAAAAAGCCAAGCTCCAGGCACACAACTGGGAGGGGGGGAAGGGGGAAAGAGGAGAAGCTTTTCATTCCTTCTCGGAAATGCTCTTAAGGCAGAAAAGTAGCAGAAACGCAAATACAGTACCTTCAGGTCTCGCCTCTCCAGGTGCAAAAGCTCCGCGCCTCGGATGTCGTGGCTGATGAAGGTGTCTTTGTACTCTCCCAAACTCAGCAGGTCCAGCCACGCCGCTACTTCCTCCGTGCCCCATTTCTGAACTACCAAAGTTAAGAGCAAAACCCCCTTAATTTCTCGACATGCTGGGCCGCACGGCAAGCAGAGGTTAGGCCGTAGAAGGTGGAGGACAGAAGAGAAGAGAACGACGCAGTGATAGCAGAAGTCGGGGTGGGTGGGTAGGTAGGTGATGGGCAGCCGTTTCAGACATGCAGGTTAAAGGGAGGGAAAACCCGGGCATCGGAGGGCTACCTGACTTCTAGCCATGCTCTCAGCTCCAGCATCCAGCTCTGCCCTTCAAGAGCCCCATCCCCGAGCGGATCCTTAACTTGCTCCCTTCTGTGTGGGTCGCACACAAAACCGTGTGGCCTCCTGAAGCCAGGACAGTTACACACACACCCTTGACCTGCACGTAGACGTAAGGGCCGACTTTCTCGTGGGATAAAGACTACTTCAAGTCATCGTGAAGATGGAATAACAAGGAAGGCCAAGACCAAGCTCCGGTGCACATGGGGTTCTGCACCAATCCGCTCGCAATTCTGTATTTTCTAAGCAACGGTATTATTATTATTATTATTATTTAAAAAAAAGCCTACCAGGCTGGGTGTTGGTCTTCTGTTTTTGAACCTTTTCCTTTTTAAACTTTGGCACGATACGAAAGACGGTACTGCGGCTGTTTCTTTTACAGTACTCCAAGGGAGGGTCCTAAAAAAAGATAAGAAGATGATTATTGGGGTTTTTTTTCTTCTTTTTGTTCATGTCTTGCATCGGAGGAGGTAGAGCACGTCTTTCTCCCTCTGTCCCGGCCACTTTTTAACAGAGGCACAATCGGGAGCGTCTGAACAAACTGCCTCGCTCTCTGGTTTGGTGGCAGCAGAGCCTCAGATAGAAGGTCCACACAGAGGGTGGTGAGGACAGCCGAGAAGATCATAGGAAGCTCTGCTTCCCGTGATTCAGGGTGCTGCTTACAAGCTCTTATATGTGCTTAGAGCTCGGAGCATTGTTAGAGACTCCCCACACACCCACTTCACGGTCGGTTCCTGTTGCTCCCCTCTGGGAGGAGGTTTCAAAGTATTTATAGCAGGACTGGCAGATTCTGTAACAGCTTTGTTCCTTATGCCATCCGTCTGGTAAATTCGCAGGATTTTTTTTTTCCACCATGTATATATGTATATATATTCGAACTAGACTGTGACTGTATCTCAGCCTCATATATGTGTGTGTATGTGGGTATATGCGTAATTGTATTTTTTAGAGCTGAATGCAACGCAATTTCATTTTAATGTAGGCTGATCAGTGTACATTTAAAATGACAATAAAATTTCTATTTTATTCTGCATTTTATTCTATTCTGCATTCTATTCTATTCTGCATTCTATTCTGCATTCTATTCTATTCTCTATTCTATTCTGCATTCTGTTCTATTCTGCATTCTATTCTGCATTCTATTCTGCATTCTATTCTATTCTCTATTCTATTCTGCATTCTATTCTATTCTGTATTCTATTCTATTCTGCATTCTATTCTATTCTGCATTCTATTCTGCATTCTATTCTATTCTCTATTCTATTCTGCATTCTATTCTATTCTGCATTCTATTCTGCATTCTATTCTATTCTGCATTCTATTCTGCATTCTGTTCTATTCTGCATTCTATTCTATTCTCTGTTCTATTCTGCATTCTATTCTATTCTGCATTCTATTCTGCATTCTATTCTATTCTGCATTCTATTCTGCATTCTATTCTATTCTCTATTCTATTCTGCATTCTATTCTGCATTCTATTCTATTCTGCATTCTATTCTATTCTCTGTTCTATTCTGCATTCTATTCTATTCTCTGTTCTATTCTGCATTCTATTCTATTCTGCATTCTATTCTGCATTCTATTCTATTCTGCATTCTATTCTGCATTCTATTCTATTCTGCATTCTATTCTGCATTCTATTCTATTCTCTATTCTATTCTGCATTCTATTCTGCATTCTATTCTATTCTGCATTCTATTCTATTCTCTGTTCTATTCTGCATTCTGTTCCATTCCGTTCCGTTCCGTTCCGTTCCGTTCCGTTCCATTCCATTCCATTCCATTCCATTCCATTCCATTCCATTCCATTCTATTCTATTCTATTCTATTCTATTCTATTCTATTCTATTCTATTCTAATGAGGCTGCTTTTAAAATCCCATTAACTTTTCTGAGTCTTTAAAGAACTTTAAAGCAACTGTATCTTTTTTCAATCTGCCGAAGGGATGCTTGTTCACAGAAGGTTCAAATACGTCCTCCAACTCATCTTCAAAGCATCCATAACCCCCTAACAGCAATTTTCCTGCACGTGTCTCAGACTTTCGAAGTAGGTCCAATCAAACGAAAAGAACAGCAAGGATTCAGGCCTGGCGTGCGTGAATTCCACCCACCTCATCGTCGTTCATCTGTAGAATATAGCAGAGCCAAGGAATTTCAGCCAACTTTCTCAGTTCAGTCTCCACATTGTGTACTGCTGAGACCAGCAACTCCTCACAAGGAGATTCCAATTGCTACCCAAAAAAACCCGAAACATAATTTTATTAGGCTGAATTATTTAACAAGAATCCCTGTCTCTCTATCTATCTTCTATCTATGGTATCTACCTGTCTATGTATCTATCTATGTATCTATCTATGTATCTATCTATCTATCCATCATCTATCTACAGTATCTATCTATCAATCATCTATCTATCTATCTATCTATATCATATATCTACAGTATCTCTATGTCTGTCTCTGTCTGTCTGTCTGTCTGTCTATATCATATATCTACAGTATCTCTATGTCTGCCTGCCTGCCTGCCTGCCTGCCTGCCTATCTATCTATCTATCTATCTATCTATCTATCTATCTATCTATCTCTATCCATATCATTATCCATATCTATATCTATACTTATTCTTATATTTATGTCTAAATCTATATATCTGTTTATATCTATACATCTATCTATATCTGCCTACATCTATCAATTATATATTATTTATCATTATCTATCAGCCATCTCTCTCTCTCCCCCTCTATCTTCTATTTATCCATCTTCTATCCATCTATGTCTATCTCCATCTATCTGTCTATGTATCATATCTATCTATCTATCTATCTATCTATCTATCTATCTATCTATCTATCTATCTATCTATCTACCTACCTACCTACCTACCTACCTACATCTGTCTGTCTGTCTGTCTGTCTGTCTGTCTATCTATCATCTCTCTCTCTCTCTCTCTCTCTCTCTCTCTCTCTCTCTCTCTCTCGTTTCTCTGTCTCTGTCTGTCTGTCTGTCTCTCTCTCTCTCTGTCTCTCTCTCTCTCTCTCTCTCCTGGAAATGTCTCTGTTTAAGGACATAAAGTCATTCCCCCAACTCCGATCTCAGTCCAGTTACAATTCCTGGAGGGATGATTAAAATCCTCAGCTCCTTTATTTTTCCCCCCACCCTCTTCTGACTTACTCTGCTGATTTCCCCAAAGCCCAACCTTTCTAGAACAGAGGTCCTCAACCGTTTGGGCACCAGGGACCGGTTCCATGGAGAGAGGTTTTTCCGCGGACCGGAGACTGTGTGGTTTTGTGTGCTGCCTGCATCCTGCGGATGGGGCTTTGCTTGTTTGTGCGGACCAGTTACTGGCACATCACGGCCCGGTACCGATCCACGGACCAGGGCTTGGGGACCCCTGTTCTAGAAGACCTAGTGCTCAAGAAGCTGTCCCAGTTCAGAAAGTCTTTGGCCTGAGATGATTCTGGAGCCTCTGAGCCTTTCAGATACAGGATGGCTAGAATCCACCATGTCAGAATTGGGAAGCCAGGAAAAGCAACATAAGGGATGGTGTCTGGAAAGGGTGAAGGCAACACCAGGCTACAGGTGAAGACATGTACAGACTTTCATCTTACCAACGAGACTTTTCCAACCAGCAAGGATTCTGTTTCGTCATGTAACGCCTTGACGGTGGCAGCGATTTCCAAGGCGGTGTTTCTGGTGAGGCTCTGCAGAGAGGAAAAAGACGTGAAGATCCCAGCGACACAAAAGCTGTGCATTTAATTGTAGGTAGTCCTCGACTCACAACTGTTCATTTAGGGACCGTTCAAAGTCACAACCGGCACTGAAAAAAAGAGGGCCATTTCTCACGCTTACCACCCTTGCAGCATCCCCAGGGTCACGTGATCAAAACCCAGAGGCTTGGCAACTGGCCTGTACTTGTGACGGTTGCAGGGGCCCGGGGTCACGTGCTCCCATTTTGTGACCTTCTCACAAGCAAAGTCAATGGGGAAGCCAGATTCACTTCACAATCACATTACTAACTTAACAACTGCAGTGATTCCCTTAACTGTGACCAGCAAGATCGTAAAATGGGGCAAAACTCACTTAGCAATGGAATTTTTTTAAAAAAAATTCTTTTAAAGAAATAAAAACATCCGGCATCAGAGACTGGTCAGATCGCGATTGTTTGGTATGAAGGGGTGTACAGCTATTGATTGAATTGACAAGGATTCACTCAATAAAAGCTCACCATTAAACATTTTACTAAGCATGGGTCAGTTCTAAGCTGACCTTAACAGAAGAACAAATAAAAGAATAAGAGAGTTGGAAGGGACCTTGGAAATCATCTAGTCCAACCTCCTGCTCAAGCAGGAGACCCTATGATTCTGGAAAAACGGTTGTTCAATCTCTTCTTTAAAACTTCCAGTGTTGGAACATCCACAACTTCTGGAAGCAAGTCGTTCCACTGATTAATTGTTCCAATTATCGAAAAATTCCTCCTTAATTCTAGGTTGCTTCTCTCCTTGATTAGTTTCCATCCGTTGATACTGCCTTCTGGTGCTTTGGAGAATAGCTTGACTCCCTCTTCTTTGGGGCAGCCCCTGAGATACTGGAACGCTGGCTATCCTGTCCCCCCTCGTCCTTCTCTTCATTAAATTAGACATACCCAATTCCAGCAACTGTTCCTTATATGTTTTAGCCTCCAGTCCCTAAATCATCTTTGTTGCTCTTCTCTGCACTCCTTCCAAAGTCTCAACATCTTTTTTACATCATGGGGACCAAAACTGGATGCAGGATTCCAAGTGTGGCCTTACCAAGGCATAATAAAGCGCTATTAGACCTTCATGTGATCTTGATTCTTATCAAGAATTCTTACCAAGAACTTATCTGAAGACACATTGTCAGAGCGTGCACTGCCTTATTGCGCTGAGAGAACCCAAGGGTAAACACAGTAAACGGTGGTCTATATTAAATGGTGGTTTATCTTACACTAACTACAATACCGTACACCAGGAACAAAATACATACACATGGTAATACAGCAGGATCCAACAAACCACGATCACATCAGGAAACGGAAGAGAGAGAACACATCAGCAGAGCCTTCCCTTTATACCAGGGGTCTTCAAATGTGGCCCTTTGATGACTTGTGGACTTCAACTCCCAGAATTCCTCAGCCAGCCTCCATTTTGTTTGTTAGATTTAAGACAGGGGTCTTCAAACATGGCCCTTTTATGACTTATGGACTTCAACTCCCAGAATTCCTCAGCCAGCCTCCATTTTGTTTGTTAGATTTAAGACAGGAGTCTTCAAACGTGGCCCTTTTATGACTGACACGTGCCTGGCTGAGGAATTCTGGGAGTTGAAGTCCACAAGTCATCAAAGGGCCACGTTTGAAGGCCCCTGCTATATATAAAGGCTCTTAAAGAGACACAGACTCTGCTGAGTCATTCTCACCATTACATTACATCTTACATCCCACACTACACAAGCTGGTGAGGTGCCCAATCAATACCTTGACACAGATCTTTCTTTTTTTCTTTCCTTACCTCAGGGAATTTCAGACCGGCTTTGGCTAAAGCATGAGAGCAGGCATTCACAGCATGAGCTAGCTCTTGTTCCAAGAGGCTATGAGCTTTGGCAGCTTCACAGATTCTGTGGGAAAGAGCAAATCGGGGAAGGGTTAGGGTTAATTAGAGAATTTACAAAGGCCAGAAAATGGCTTGGTTGTTCATTTATTAAATTCACAGGCTGCCCATCTCAGATGCACAAATCCGGGCGGCTTTAAAACAGAATTAAAAACAATACAAAGCATCCAGGATTAAAAACGATGACAGCCACATTAAAAGTAGCAGGCAGTCCTCAGTTTGCAACCACAATTGAGCTCCAAGTTTCTGTTCTTAAGTGAGGCCTTTGTGAAATGGGGGAGCTTGGCCCCATTTTATGACCTTTCTCGCCACAGTTGTTAAGCGAATCGCTGCGGTTATTTAGCAAAGTGGTTGGGAAGTGAAACTGGGCTTCCCCCCATTGATCGGACTACAAAAAAAGAGGTTGAGACTTTGGGAAAAAGTGCAAATAAGAGCAACTGAGATCCTTAAAGGCCTGGAGACGAACTGCCTTTAGTCTCTCTAGTCTACCTGGTGATCAGCTCTTCCGCTGCCTGAGAACAAGCCTGGATCTGCACCGTCTCTTCTTCCGAAGCCAGTTCCACCGCCTGGTGCGGGTACAATGGGGACCGTAACCCGGGTTTGCAAGAATCGCACTTCTGTTTGTCTTCCCAGGATTTTAGCGTGCTTTCGAACGCCTATCCAGAATTGGGGGAGAAAAAAATAATAATTTAGGCATCCCTGAAGCCACAGCCCAGCCAGGCATTCTTAGGTCTAGTTCAGTGGTTCTCAACCTGTGGGTCGGGACCCCATTTGGGGTCGAACGACCATTTCACGGGGGTCGCCAAACAAGGCTGTCCGCCATTTTTTCCCCTTTTCTTTGGCCATGCCCCTAGCACCCGATGATGTATAAGTGGTTGGGGGTCACCACAACATGAGGAACTGTATTATGGGGTCGCGGCATTAGAAAGGTTGAGAACCACTGGTCTAGTTTAATGGTGCATCTTGCAATGAAAAGGACAAAAGACTTTATTTGCGGTTCTCTCTTTCTCTCTCTCTCCCTCTCTCTGTCCCCCTCTCTCTCTTTCTCTCCCTCTCTCTCCCTCCTCCCTCTCTCCCCCTCTCTCCGTCCCTCTCTCCCTTTCTTTCTCTCTCCCTCTTCCCCCCTCCCTCCCTCTCCCTCCCCTCTCCGTCCCTCTCCCTCTTTCTCTCTCCCTCTCTCTCCCTCTCCCCTGCTCTCTCCCTCTCTCCCTCCCTCCCTCTCCCTCTCTCTCCCTATCTCTCCTTCTCCCTCTCTCTCTCCCTCTCTGTCCCTCTCTCTCCCTCTGTCCCTTTCTCTCTTTCTCTCTCTCCCTCTCCCTCTCTCCCTCTCTCCCCCCTCTCCTTCTCCCCCTCTCTCTCCTTCTCCCTCTCTCCCTCCCCCTCTCTCCCTCTCTTTCTCCCTCCCTCCCCCCCTCTCTCCCTATCTCTCCCCCTCTCTGTCCCTCTTTCTCTCCCTCTCTCTCCCCCACTCTCTCCCTCTCTCCCTCCCTCCCTCTCCCTCTCTCTACTTCTCCCCCCCCTCTCTCTCCCCCTCTTCCCCTCTCTCTCCCTCCATTGCATAAATATGTTCAGGCAGATTTGTGTACATGGGGGGGGGGAAAGGACATTTATAAGACAAGTAAGTAATTTTGATCACATGACCATGCAAAGCCACACCTGGTCGAAAGGTGAAAAAGGATCATGTCACTTTTTCCAGTGCCGTCGTAAAGTTTGAACGGTCACGAACGGACGAGAAGCAAAATGCAGGCACACCTTGAGTTGCGACCCCCACCGAGTCTGAAATTTCCATTGGACAGCAAGACCGTTCAGTGAGGTTTGCCCCCATCTTACAACCTCTCTTGCCACAGTTCTTAAGTGAACCTCTGCCATTGTTAAGTGAGTCACTCGGTTCTTAAATGAATCTGGCTTCCCCCCCATGGACTCTGCTGGTCAGAAGCCGTCATAATTATGAACCGGTTGCCAAGCATCCAAACTTGGATCACGTGGCCAGGGGGACGCTGCACAAAAAACGGTCACGTCGCTTTTTTCAGCGCTGTTGTCATTTTGAACGATCACTAAACAAAACAGTTGCAAACTGAGGACCGCCTGTATACTTGTGGCCAAGGGTATCTGGGAGCCAAACGTCAAAAGAGTCAAGTGCTTTTTAACATTTACCAGCCTTGCAGCATCCCCAGGGTCACGTGATCAAACTCCAGAGGCTTTGCAACTGGCCTGTACTTGTGACAGTTGCAGAGGCCCGGGGTTACATCACTCTTTTGTGACTCGTGGACTTCAACTCCCAGAATTCCAGAGCCAGCATGGCTCAGCATGGAAACCTCTCCCTTTCCCCTCAGCATGGCTGGCTCAGGAATTCTGGGAGTTGAAGTCCACGAGTCATAAAAGAGCCAAGGTTGCCTAGCCCTGGCCTAAGAAGAAGGATCCCTCCACGTAACGTACTCGGTCGCGCGTTAGCATCTGTGCTCGATTTTTGTGCACAATTTTAATGATGCCCGGGGGCTGAATCCAAGCTTCGCCATCCACTTGCACGGGCACTCCTTCATCCCCAAGTATGGTGATCTTCACCGCCCGGCACTGAAAAAAGAGTAAACAGATTTCAGCAGAGGCTGGAATACGTTCAAGCAATTTCCAGCAAGAACGGTGGCTCCCATCCAGATCCATCTCCAGGGCAAAAGGATGCTAGATTTTGTAAAGTGCAGGATTTTGCAGCCCACTGAAATTGAAAAGAGAAAGTCGATTAAATTGAAATTTCATTTGGAGGGAAACAAGGTTTTACAGCTGGGTGGGAAAAAGCAAAGGTGCAAGGCAAGACCTGGCTCAAAAACGGTAACTAGGAAAGGACAATGACTTAAAGGTGAGCCAGCCGTGTGCGGCAGCAGCCAAAAGAGCTAATACATGTTCTATCCCAGCCTATTGCCATCCTTGTTAAAGGCACAAGGACCAAACCCCTGTTGATAAAATAGGCTGGAGACTTAAAACAAAACAACCCCCTTTTAATATGGGTGACAAACCTGCCAAATAGTCCAAAACACAAACAGCAAAACTCAATCCAAATGAAGGAAATAGTCCACAGGCAACACGATGCAAACAGAAGAGTAGTCACAAGCAAGATGAACAAACCAGGATCCTAAGAAGTACTTTGCAAACGGTTGCCTTCAGCAACCAGCACCGCCCACACCTCCTCTTTTTATACAGCAGTCCCAAGGCGTTGCCTCTCAGTGCCTTCTCCTTTTACCCTGGAGTTGCCGTATTGACTGCTGCTGATTTACTCTCGCTAATTGACGACGTGTGCGAGCATCAATTAGCATGTCCATCAGATGTGAGTCCTCCGAGTCTGACTCATTCTCCTCACACAGCTGAGCTTCATCAGGAACATGACTGGAGGACCCAGGCTCTGCATCAAACCGTGAGTCCTGTAATTCATCAGAGCCTCCCTCTGCCCCTAATGGCCCTTCAAATGCCCCCTCCACCTCCTCCTCAGATTCCTCAGACTCAGCTGTTGGGAGCACAGGCTGGCATGGAATCACAACAATACAATCCTTGGTTGTATAGACTGAGGCACAGAATCAAAATCAGGTGAAGTATTCGTACAGCTTTATAAAGCCGTAGTAAGGCCACACCTGGAACGCTGCATCCAGTTTTGGTCCCCACATTACAAAAAAGTTGTTGAGACTTTGGGAAAAGTGCAAAGAAGAGCAACGAAGACGATTAAAGGCCTGGAGACAAAAACATACGAAGAATAGTTGCCAGGATTTGTGTACGCTAGTCTAGAGAAAAGAAGTACTGCTGGGTGATATGATAGCAGTCTGCCAGTATTTGAGGGGCTATCACAAACAGAAGAGGGTCAATTTCTTTTCCAAAACCCAGAACAAGAAGTAACGGATGGAAACTCATCAAGGAGAGAAGCAATGTGGAATTAAGGAGAAACTTCCTGACAGCGAGGATGATTAACCAGTGTCTTCAGAAGTTGTGGCTGCTCCCATCACTGGAGGTTTTTAAGAAGAGCCTGGACAGCCACCTGTCTGAAATGGCATAAGATCTCCTGCTTGAGCAGGGGGTTGAACTAGAAGACCTCCAAAGTCCCTTCCAGCTCCATTCTGGTTGAGTGATTCGCCAGCTGGCTTCAACAGAGGACAGCAAAAAAATTAGTCCCGTTGCCATGAGTTAACTTTTAGACTTGAGACACTTTGGTCTGGGTGATTGAGAATTTCCGTCGATATGTTTTAATGCATTTTGGGGAAGAAACCCCTGAAATTCGTGTGGCAAGGGTTGGTACATTCTAACAACTCTCTGCCTCATTTTCTCGGACTGATAAAACTGCTTGGATGACTAACACAAATATTAGTTGCCATGATTTAACTTTTAGATTTTAGACCAGGGATGGCGAACCTTTTAGAGACCGAGTGCCCAAACTGCAACCCAAAACCCACTTACGCATCGTCGGGTGCCGGGTGGGTGTGGCCCATTGGGTGGGTGTGGCCCATTGGGTGGGCGTGGCTGCGGTGGTAACGGCAGACTGGGTGGGACTAAAAAGTTAAATCAATCAATTCCAACTTTGCAAGATCTTCTTTTTCCCCGTGAGAAGTTAAAATTCATTGATTGATTGAACCTTTTTTCTTTTTTTGCACCCAGCAGTGGAGGCCTAAAGTGAAAAGGTTTTATAAAACTCAGCTGAAGGCCTAGGACTGGGGCGACGGCGCCCGTGCCCACAGAGAGGGCTCTGAGTGCCACCTCTGGCACCCGTGCCATAGGTTCGCCACCACTGTTTTAGACAGTTGGATGATTGAGAGTTTTCATGGATATAGGCAAGCATTCCCCAACTTTTCTGGCTTTGTAAATGGGCAAGGGGTGGGGGAGAGGGCACGGTATTGCACCAGCAGCCAGTAAGCACCACACAGCTCCATTTGCATCAACGGCGGGCACACCTGTACACCACACAGGCAAATGGAGCATGCACACATGCGCTCACCCATTGCTTGTGCAAGTTGAGGCATGTAAGCACGTGCTCGGCCACCATGTCCATGGCCCGGTTCCAAATTGCTCACGGACTGATAGTGGGCTGTGGCCCAGGAAGATTGGGGACCGTTGACATAGGGGACCCTCCCGTTTCCTTCTTCCTGGGCGTGAGACAAACCTGGGCTATTCTATGATGTTGGAGCTTGATCACCCGGGAGACAGCCATCTGCATGCTGCCGAAGACGGCCACCACCTCCAAGATTTTGTCATCGAACGATGGCGCCCCGAAGATCTGGTGGGGGGAAGAGAAAAGTTTTACGTCTCATTCCAACAAAATGAGTTTCAAGGTGGAGAAAAGCAAAGGTTTACATTTAGGCAGGAAAAACCGAAGGGACAAGTACAGATTGAGCGAGACCTGTTTCATAAAACAGTAACTGTGAGAGGGACCTTGGAGTCCTAGTGGACGATCACTTCATTGTGAGCCAGCTGTGTGCAGCAGCAACAGCCAAAAAAAGCTAATACAATCCTGGGTTGTATAAACAGAGGCATAGAATCAAGATCACGTGAAGTATTAGTACTGCTTTATAAAGCCCTAGTAAGATCACATCTAAAATACTGTAGCCAATTTTGGTCACCAGAAATGGTATAGGTTCTGCTCGAGCAGGGGGCTGGACTAGAAGACCTCCAAGGTCCCTTCCAGATTCTATTCTATTCTATTCTATTCTATTCTATTTTAATGTTCTATTCCATTCCATATTTTCTATTCTATGTTCCATTCCATTTCTATTCTATTCTAATTTTATTCTCCTTCTGTTCTCCTATTCTATTCTATTCTATTCTATTCTATTCTATTCTATTCTATTCTATTCTATTCTATTCTATTCTATTCTATTCTATTTCAGTATTTGCATTCCAGTCCTGATGTCATTCAGGGATTAGGTCTTTCGCTCCGGGATATAAAGCAACATTTCTTAAATATCAGAGAAGGTGGATGCTTGGAACAGAACTGTAATATTAAAGGTCACTCCCGAAGTATTTGAAAGAGTTGCTGTTTACGAGGTTGGGACTGGAATCTTTCATCCGTATATGAGAACATTTGGGCTGCTCGAAATGCCAAAGCTACACGTGCCATTTGTCAAACTTATTTTCAGCAGGAGAATGAAAACAGCTTCTGTGTCCACAGCCAAAGGTCCCCTTTCCAGCCTGAAGCAAAACTCAAGTCAAAAAATATACAGGTTCTCCTTGACTTTTGCAACACTTTATTTAGTGGCCATTCAAAGTTATGACAACACTGAACAAAGTGTTTTATGACCAATAAAAGGATAATATTTGTAGTTCAGGGCTGGCATGAGGGGTCCTTGGTGCTCTCTCAGCTTGCTTGTTTTCTTGCTGACATCATCAGTGCTGGAAGGGAGCAGGATTTGTGGAGAGGAGGAGAGGAAGAGGAGGAGGAGGAGGAGGAGGAGGAGGAGGAGGAGGAGGAGGAGGAGGAGGAGGAGGAGGAGGAGGAGGAGGAGAAGGAGGAAGACTGTGGGGTCCTGGGTGTTCTCTGAGCTTGCTTGTTTTCTTGAAGATGTTTCATTACCCAAACTAGAGAACATCATCAGTGCTAGAAGGAGGAAGCAGGGAGGAGGAGGAGGAGGAGGAGGAGGAGGAGGAGGAGGAGGAGGAGGAGGAGGAGGAGGAGGAGGAGGACGACTGTGGGGTCATTGGTGCTCTCTGAGCTTGCTTGTTTTCTTGAAGACATTTCATTAGCCAAACTAGGGAACTTCTGATGACTCCATAACTCACTACAAAGACCGTGGTATCTTGAACCGCCCTATTATGGTAGCCTCAGAATGGATGGATGGTCCTCCATGAACACCATTCTGAAGTTCTCCAGCACCATCCGAGGGACCACCTTGATCAGCTCACTTAAAGGTTCAGCTGGATGAATGTCTTCCCATGAAGAAGCAACCTCTGCGAATTAGCATCCTCACCTTTAAGCAGCAGACACAATTAGCTAACCATTTATTTCCTTCATCCCTCATTTTGAGCAGTTTGGGAACTACCATTGCTGTTCCTCGAGGCCAAGTGACAGTGGGGTTGGTACCCCGTTGACTTCAGCAAGTCTTGGAAAACAGACGTGGAGCATTTGAAACCAAAAACCAAAAAAAACCCTCTTAACATACAGCATTTTCCATTTTGATGCAAACTTCATGTAGAAAATCGACAGCTGGCTTACTTGGGAAGCAAATAACCCGAAGAGCAAGGCCGTTATTACTTACATCATCTTCCTTGGTTCCACCCCAGAAGTTTGTTCCACCAGCATAGCTTGGGATGTTCAAAACAGCTATGCCCTGAAGGCTTGGAAGAGGGATATATTGTCCATCGCACTGCAAAGGTATAAAATACCATATATAAATAACCACAAAAGTATACTGGGGTTGCCATTAATCACAGGAATCGGTTAGACTTGAAAGGTAACTTATAGGCGCCGTGGTGACGCAGTGGTGAGAATGAGGTATTGCAGGCTGACTCTGCTCACTGCCAGCAGTTCGATCCTGACCAACTCAAGGTTGACTCAACCGTCCATCCTTCCCAGGTCGGTAAAATGAGGACTCAGATTGTTGAGGGCAACAGGCTGACTCTTGAACTATTTAGAGGGGGCTATAAAGCACTGTGCAGTGGTATATAAGTCCAAATGCTATTGCTATCCTTCCTCCCTCCCTCCCTCCCTCTCTTTCTTCCTTCCTTCCTTCCTCCCTCCCTCCCTCTCCCCTCCCTCTCTTCCTTCCCTCCTTCCTTCCTTCTTTCTCCCCTCCCTCCCTCCCTCCCTCCCTCCCTCCCTTCCTTCCTTCCTTCCATCCTTGAGGGCACAGTGGTTGGAATGCAATACTGCATGCTGACTCTGCCCACAGTCAGGAGTTCAATCCTTACCAGCTCAAGCTTGACTCAGCCTTCCATCCTTCCCAGGTCAGTAAAATGAGGACCCAGATTGTTGAGGGCAAGAGGCTGACTCTGTAAACCATTTAGAGGGGGCTATAAAGCACTAGGAAATGGTATATAAGTGTTGTTGCTATTGCTAACGTATCTAGCTTCCTTGCTTAGCCAGGATGTTCTACGCATGTTTCATACATGGACTTCGGTTTACAGTCTTTCATTATACAATGGCCAGAACACTTCTTTGGTATAAGTAAATACCTTCTAGCTTTCTACGGAGGCAAGCCAGAGACTACAACAAGACCTTCAACCAACATCTGCTTCCAAATTTGGTTCCGAATTATATCCTTATGACAAATAAACCAATTATGAGCAAAATGAGGCAGCTTTAGATGGGAGAGGGACTGACGTTGAGTGACAGTACTGTGATATGCTTGACCTTAGACCAGGGGTGTCAAACTCAATTTCATTGAGGGCCACATCAGCATTGCGGTTGCCCTGGGGGGCGGGTGGGTATGGCCAGAGTGGGTGCATCTTAATGGGTGGGTGTGGATGGACTGGATGTGGCCTTCTGGGTGGGTGTGGCCAGTTCTACATCATTTGCATCAAGGGTGCCTATGGGGGGGGCTTGGGCAGGAGTGGGACAGATCTGAGGGTCTCTGGCAGAAGGGGATGGGACCGGGGCAAGCGCCAAGGCATGGTCCACTGGGGCAAGTGCCAAGATGGCCACTACAAAATTGTACATTGGCTCCCGGCTGGCCTGGGCCAGGGCCATGGCAGCAGGGGCCGTTCCCTCACTGTTTCCAGGATGGCTTCGCGAGCCACATGAAACCACTTTGTGGGCCGTATCCGGCCCCCGGGCCTTGTGTTTGACATGTCTGCCTTAGACTGTCTTTGAAAATGGTCTCTAGACTGCAGATATGATAGAATATGGAAGAGACTGTTGGGTGAGGGATCCATAAAAATAGAACAGAGCTTCTTGACCAAGGTTTTAGATCTGTTCAGGCACTGTGGGATAAAATCAATTCCTTCCAGGCTTCTGAAGACACACCATGGATCTCTGGTCCTAAAGCAAGAGAGTCTTTTCTGTAGAACAGTCTCTCTGGTGTGGTGTAGCCATTAGTCCCAACGTTCAAGGCTGTAGTTACCTTGAACGTTTTCCCCTCCTTCCCCATCCAGCTCAGGACTGTGCAGTCGCTTAATTGGGGATTTCCCGTGGAAATTTGGGAAACCTTTGTGCAGCCAACACTCTCTCCACCGCTTCCCCAAGTCCACCTTCCATCACATCATGTGGATCAAGATGGTAGATAAATGTGTGATGTCTCCCTCGGGCGACTCCCCAGATTCCTCCTCAGATGTCAGCTCAGAGGAGGATGCACCAATTCTTGGCATGTCAGGAACTGAGTTGATTGACGGCTCTGAACAGCCTCCAGAAGGAATTTGGTGGAGGCTTCAGCTGGGGAAAGTCTGCAGTGGCCGACGGCCAGCAAAGAGGAGGAAGAATTGCCTTCTGCACCTGATCCGAGAACACGTAGGGCAGAGAAAAGGCAGGAGCAGAGAAGGTCAGCCAGACTACTCGAGAGGAGAGGGCCCTGCCCATCTTAATGGGCTGCACCAGAAAGCTGGCTATTTATCACAGCGGACAGATGGGGGCACTGTTGAGAAAAATGTGTTGGTTTTCTAGTTATGTGTTTGATCGTCATGATTCCTGCTTCACTCTGGACTGACGCCGTGTTTGGAATTGTGCCTTGGAGATTCTGAACTTTTCTTGCACAATCTTGTGTGTGGATTTAAGTTTTGCCTGGTGGATTTGAGTTTGTCCGGTGGAGTTATTTTGTTTGAGCAGCTTTCAAGTGCCTGGTGGACTAAGCACCTTGTGATCTGCTGGTGGCTGGACTTGATTGGGACAGCTCTGGGTTTTTGGTGAAGGGAATTGCTGGGGGACATTAATAAACTCACTAAACCACGGTTACGTGTGTGTGTGAGTGAGAGGGGCAGCACAAAATGGCAGAAATAAATCAATGTGGTTTAATTTTAATACCCAGCCAGACTTTTTGTCTACTTTAATTCATCATCCCAGAAGGCAATGGCCACTAGATAATGTCAACCTTTACAGCCCAAATCCACCCCAAATATCACAAAGCAGATTCATCTTGCCTCGAGGGAAACTAGAACAATAGGGTGTCGGGTACCTCGAGTTGAACTTTCTGCTCCAAGTTTTTGTAAGTCCGTTGTAACAACTCTTTAGTACCAAGCACTCCGTACCACATCATGTTCTTCGTCCTACTTCTAAAAGGAAAAACAGTGATCACGCAATGGCACGGGATTAACCCATCAGACGCATTCGGTAAGACATCAAAATCCCTGCTTGGATGTTAAAGAAAACACAGGGATACATATAATACTCGATTTACGATTGCAATTGAGCCTAAAACATCTGTTGTTAAGTGAGCTTTGCCCCCATTTTACGATCTTTTTTGCCAATGTTAAGTGGCCACCTCATTGACTTTGCTGGTCAGAAGGTCACAAAAGATCATCACATTTATTAATCCCCTTATTTATTTCTGTCTCTTTCAAAAAAATAGATCTTCAGTGAATCTTCCCTCTCTCCAGTAAAGACGCTGGGACAGTGCGACCGTCATAAATGTGAATCATTTGCCGAGCATCCCAATGTTGATCACGTGACCACGGGGATGCTGCAACAGTCATTAAGTGTGGATACAGTCAGAAGCCACTTTTCTCCCAGTGGCTGTTGGAACTTTGAACAGTCACTAAAGGAATGTCAAGTAATACCTGTAAGTTTGTACAAGTGTATAGGCAAGGACTAGTTCAAATCTTCACAGTAGCTCACCTGCATTTCTCAGGATGCACTTCCCGCTTATTGTTAAATTCTAATGAAATCTTCGCATCTAATCCGATGCCAAAATAATTGTTCATGACGCACTTCTCTGAATAGCCTTCCCTGTACACAAATGCACAACTACTGTTGGTAATAGCGCACAGAGGACGCATGCACAGGTATACAAACAACAGCGCAGTTCTAGCTTCCCTCTTAGAGCGCCCCAAAGCCGCCACTGTTATCCTATTCGGGAGGGGCCATCGTAGTGGGCTGAGTATGGAAGGATCTTAGGATTGCCTACCAATCCAGATTCAAAGGGGGAGAAAGTGGTTTGGATTGCACAGAGGCCCTCACATGGCACCCATTCACATTTTCTTACATCTCGAACCCAGATGAACCCAGAAGAACTTAGGAGTACCCAGGAGAACCCAGGAGAACTCAAGGGAACCCAGGAGAACCCAGGAGAAACCAGGTGAACCCAGGAGAAACCAGGAGAAACCAGATGAATTCAGGAGAAACCAGGAGAACCCAAGGGAACTTAGAAGAACCCAGGAGAACTCAGGAGAACACAAGAGAAGTCAGGAGAACCCAGGAGAACCCAGGAGAACCCAGGAGAACTCAGGAGAACCCAGGAGAACTCAGGAGAACCCAGGTGAACTCAGGAGAAACCAGGAGAACCAGAGGGAACTTAGAAGAACCCAGGAGAACCCAGGAGAACTCAGGAGAACCCAGGAGAACCCAGGTGAACTCAGGAGAAACCAGGAGAACCCAAGGGAACTTAGAAGAACCCAGGAGAACCCAGGAGAACTCAGGAGAACCCAGGAGAACTCAGGAGAACCCAGGTGAACTCAGGAGAAACCAGGAGAACCCAAGGGAACTTAGAAGAACCCAGGAGAACCCAAGGGAACTTGGAAGAGCCCAGGAGAACCCAGGAGAACTCAGGAGAACCCAGGAGAACTCAGGAGAACCCAGGAGAACTCAGGAGAAACCAGGTGAACTCAAGAGAAACCAGGAGAACCCAAGGGAACTTAGAAGAACCCAGGAGAACTCAGGAGAACCCAGGAGAACTCAGGAGAACTCAGGAGAACCCAGGTGAACTCAGGAGAAACCAGGAGAACCCAAGGGAACTTAGAAGAACCCAGGAGAACCCAGGAGAACTCAGGAGAACCCAAGGGAACTTGGAAGAGCCCAGGAGAACCCAGGAGAACTCAGGAGAACCCAGGAGAACTCAGGAGAACCCAGGAGAACTCAGGAGAAACCAGGTGAACTCAAGAGAAACCAGGAGAACCCAAGGGAACTTAGAAGAACCCAGGAGAACTCAGGAGAACCCAGGAGAACTCAGGAGAACCCAGGTGAACTCAGGAGAAACCAGGAGAACCCAAGGGAACTTAGAAGAACCCAGGAGAACCCAGGAGAACTCAGGAGAACCCAAGGGAACTTGGAAGAGCCCAGGAGAACTCAGGAGAACCCAGGAGAAAATGCTATTTTTAATGACCTTTTTTGTGGCAGCTGTTACGCAAATACTACAATCCTTAAGCAAACCCATTGTTCGCTGTGGGGCTAAGTGATCAGTTGTAAGTCAAGACTGCATGTAGATTGGGTGGCTACTCCTAATCCCCTAGAGGCAATGAATGAGTTCTAAGCATGTCTACTTATCACAGTCCCAAAACCAACACAGTGGTTATCTGTGGGCTACTCTCTATCCCAGGGCTCTCCAAACTTAGCAACTCTAAGACTTGTGGACTTCAACTCCCAGAATTCCTCACACTGGCTGGGGAATTCTGGGAGTTGAAGTCCATAACTCTTCAGAGTTCCCAAGTTTGGAGACACCCCCCCCCTGCTCCATTCCATGAGAATTTTACAACAGGAGGAACATCTTGCCCCTAAACCTTGCCAATTCGCTCTTTCTTATTGTTGTTTAAAAAAAACCTGGAGGACTCTAAGAACCATATGCGCTTTGCTGATATCACCGTAGCCCTTTTGTTTACAACAGGGGTCCTCAACCTGGGCAACTTTTAAGACTTGTGGACTTCAACTCCCAGAATTCCTCAGCCAGCTTTGCTGAGAGTTGAAGTCCACAAGTCCAGGGATAGGCAACCTTGGCTCTTTTATGACTGGTGGACTTCAACTCCCAGAATTCCTGAGCCAGCCTGGCTCAGCTTGGAAACCTCTCCCTTTCCCCTCAGCCATGCTGGCTCAGGAATTCTGGGAGTTGAAGTCCACATGTCTTAAAGTTGCTGAGGTGGCAAAACAATGGACTAGTCCAGGGGTAGGCAACCTTGGCTCTTTTATGACTTGTGGACTTCAACTCCCAGAATTCCTGAGCCAGCATGAGGAAAACCTTGGCCCTCCTCATGACTGGTGGACTTCAACTCCCAGAATTCCTGAGCCAGCATGGGGAGACTATGGCCCCTTCATGACTGGTGGACTTCAACTCCCAGAATTCCTGAGCCAGCATGGGGAGACTATGGCCCCTTCATGACTTGTGGACTTCAACTCCCAGAATTCCTGAGCCAGCATGGCTCAGCTTGGAAACCTCTCCCTCTCCCCTCAGCGTGGCTGAGGAATTCTGGGAGTTGAAGTCCACAAGTCTTAAAGTTGCCACGGTTGAGGACTCCTGGTTTACAAGAAAAGAATTAATATATACCATTTTTGGCCTGTGCTAATCAGTTCTGCCTTTTTGCTCTGAGATGGAAGGACCTCACAGAGGACACGGAATTCTACCGCCTTGATTTGGAAAGAAAATGCCTCAGACCTCTGCCATTTGTATGTTTCTCTCATGTAACCCGTGAACATAAAATATATCTTCACGTATTACTTGAGAGTACTGAATATTACTACTGTAGAAGAAGAAGAAGAAGAAGAAGAAGAAGAAGAAGGAGGAGGAGGAGGAGGAGGAGGAGGAGGAGGAGGAGGAGGAGGAGGAGGAGGAGGAGGAGGAGAAGAAGAAGAAGAAGAAGAAGAAGAAGAAGAAGAAGACGAAGAAGAAGAAGAAGAAGAAGAAGAAGAAGAAGAAGAAGAAGAAGAAGAAGAAGAAGAAGAAGAAGAAGAAGAAGAAGAAGAAGAAGAAGCAGAAGGAAAGAAACACTAATGTTGGGGAAATCCGTAGATATAATATCAATCGCAGAACAAAGGAGAAAGGAGCAAGAATTAAAACTTTTTTCCTTACAGCGATTCTGGGTCAGGATCGATAAAAGGGGTAGCGCCGTATGGATCGATGTTGGCTAGAAACATTTTGCTGATAATGGAGCTTCCTGCAATAGAGGCAGCCAGGCCAGCTCTTAGACCTGATTGAAAAAAAGGAGAGAGAGAAAAATGAGTGTTTTAATTAGATATTTAAGTCGTTTAGGAATCACTTCACGGGTAAAATCTTGCCTTTCAGTCAAATGTTCAACAAATGTGCAAAAATATCGTTGAAAAAGCACCTTTGGGCAGCCATGGCCTGAATTATGGAGAATCTCAATAGACATCCATGGACAACAACAACAACAACAATAATAATAATAGAGCTGGAAGGGACCTTGGAGGTCTTCTAGTCCAACCCCCTGCTCAAGCAGGAAACCCTATACCATTTCAGACAAATGGCTGTCCAGTCTCTTCTTAAAAACTTCCAGTATTGGAGCATTCAACACAGGATAAGATAGGATAGGATAGGATAGGATAGGATAGGATAGGATAGGATAGGATAGGAGAGGAGAGGAGAGGAGAGGAGGGGAGGGGAGGGGAGGGGAGGGGAGGGGAGGGGAGAGGAGAAGAGAAGAGAAGAGAAGAGAAGAGAAGAGAAGAGAAGAGAAGAGAAGAGAAGAGAAGAGAAGAGAAGAGAAGAGAAGAGAAGAGAAGATATGGAATGGAATGGAATGGAATGGAGTAGAGTAGAGTAGAGTAGAGTAGAGTAGAGTAGAGTAGAGTAGAGTAGAGTAGAGTAGAATAGGAGCAGAATATGAATAGGGTAGAAAAGAACAGCAGAGAACAGAATAGAGCAGAATATGAATAAAGTAGAGTAGAGTAGAACAGAACAGAACAGAATATATAGGAGAATAGAATAGAATAAAAATAGAAATAGAACAGAACAGAACAGAATAGAATAGAATATATAGGAGAATAGAATAGAAATAGAAATAGAATAGAAATAGAATAGAATAGAAATAGAACAGAACAGAACAGAACAGAACAGAATAGAATAGAATAGAATAGAATAGAATAGAATAGAATAGAATAGAATAGAATATATAGGAGAATAGAATAGAAATAGAATGGAATGGAACGGAACGGAATGGAATGGAATGGAATGGAATAGAATATATAGGAGAATAGAAATAGAAATAGAATAGAACAGAACAGAACAGAATAGAATAGAATAGAATAGAATAGAAGTTGGAAGGCACCTTGGAGGTCATCTAGTCCAACCCCCTGCTCAGGCAGGAAACCCTATACCATTTCAGACAAATGGCTCTCCAGTCTCTTCTTAAAAACATCCAGTGACTTCCAGAACTTTCTCCTTCCAGAAGGATTCAAAGAATAACAATCTCCTCATGACAGATATTATGGGGAGAACTGCTTTTTTTTTTTTACTCGGGCTCCATCTGAGGCATGCGTTGTAAGGGCAGCGGAATCTGGGCTAAATTCCAATTCATTTCTCCCCCCAAAAATGAATTATGAAATTTTCATTACCTGGACAAATTATTCTGGTGTTCAGGACTGGAAGATTTTCCTTGCTGGCAACACCGACCGGGACTGAAAAAAGAATCAGCGTGTGAAGGATTTGAGGCAATATCTCTCTCCTTCTGGCAATTTTCACCGGCCGGAGAGTGAAAATATATACTGTGGTTTTACTTATAAAAATGATATAAATGAGCCATAGAAAACCACTGAGATAATGAGGTTGCCTGCTGGAAGCTCCACTCGATATATTTCATTTTAGGAATTCGTTGGCGCTGTTATGCTTCGCAGGAAGCGTTTCAATGCAGGCTGTCCTTGACAGACAACAGCTTGTTTAGTGACCGTTTGAACGCCACTGAAGAAAGTAACTTATGACTGTTCTTCACACTTATGACTATTGCATCATCCCCACGGTCACATGATTGAAATTCAGATGCCTGGCAACTGGCATGTATTTAGACGGTTGCAGTATTCCAGAGATCATGTGATTCCCGTTAGCGATCTACTGTTCTGTCCCAGCCTATGTGAGTCCTTGTTTCGCTCACAAGGAGAAACCCCTCTTCCAACAAGCAGGCTGGAACCACAGGAAAAAAACAATCCCCTTTTGTTATTCACAGACCTGAGTCAATGTCCAAGGCAAACAAACACAGTTCACAAAAACTTGATTCCTTAACACAAATGGTGGCCTTCGGCCACCAGCACCTCCCCCCCCTTCCCTTTTATTATGCAACCAAGACGTGGCTTCCTAATGCCTTCTCCTTTGCCTTTGGAGCCGCCCATTGCGTTCCTCTATCCTACTCTCTTCTCTTGCCAGCACATTCGTGCATCCGGGATTTGTCCCAGCTGTTCTTCATCACTGTCCAACTCAGGCTCCCAGCACAGCTGTGTTTCAGCCTGCACGTGAGTAGAGGGGCCAGGCTCCTCGTCCCACTGTAAGCTTTGGAGCTCCTCAGAGCCTTCCTCTGACTCTGATGTCACTCCAGGCCCCTCCTCCTCCTCTGATTCCTCAGACTCAGCTGCCGGGTCCACTGGCTGGCGAGGAATCACAACACCTACTGACAAGCAAAATCAATGCGGGAAGCCAGATTCACTTAACAACCGGGTTACTGACTTAACAACTGCAGCGATTCACTTCACAACGGTGGCAAGAAAAGTTATAAAGTGGGGCAAAATCCCCTCAACGGCTCTCTCATTCAGCAAGAGAAGCTGAGGTTTGCGCAGACAAGAAAACCTGCACATGAAATTAAAAGCTGCCATTTCTAAGAGGAGACAGGCTTCTGTACCATCTGGATCCAAGACGTTCTCCAGTGCATCTTATGTTTGCTTTTAATAAAAAACGCACCAGTTCAATTACATGATACACTCTTAACCCGCCCTTGGAATTCTCACACAAACATCGTTTTACGTTTACTTACTCGGGTGAGGTTCATATTCTTTTGTGTCTTCGTCTTTTTCTTCCTTGGTTTCGTCTAACTCCTTATTATACTCCATAGTGGCCTGGTTTAATTGATCTTCACTGTGTGCGTTCTGTTCATCCACAACTGTAACGCCAGGTGCATACAGATAAATGTTACCATTAATTCTAAGAATTAGCGAGAGACCACAGAAGAAGAAATTAAAATATATCTCTCCTGCACTTGCCTGTGCAATCTACATATTTTTGATTTCCGCTGGGAAAACTAATGAGAAAGTACATTTTTTTAATGTGCCTTTGCTGTGATGATCAGATTCCTCCAGTGCATAATTCTAATAGTGTTCCCTATTTTGAAAAAAAAACCTACCATTACGATTAACAAGCATTTAAATATCCCTCCTTTTTAAATATCCCGCTAAAGAGAATCAGGCCATCTCCCTCCTTTCTTTTTATTTAAAATTATCGCTAGGCTGGTTTCGATTGCTTGGTGACCAGCTCACCAACTGGTTTTCCCAGTTGCAATAGTATGGCTGGGAAAGTTGAACCATAAGAAAGGCTGAGAGCCAAAGAATGGAGGCCTTTGAACTCTGATGCTGGAAAAGACTCCTGAAAGTCCTCTGGACTGCAAGGTGATCCAACCGGTCAGTCCTAGAGGAGATCAACCCTGACTGTTCTTTAGAAGGCCAGATCCTGAAGTTGAAACTCAAGTCCTTTGGCCACCTAATGAGAAGGAAGGACTCACTGGAGAAGAGCCTAATGCTGGGAAAGATAGAGGGCAATAGAAGAAGGGGACGACAGAGAATGAGGTGGCTGGATGGAGTCACTGAAGCAGTAGGCGTGAGCTTCAATGGACTCCAGAAGATGGTAGAGGACAGGAAGGCCTGGAGGAACGTTGTCCATGAGGTCGTGATGGATCGGACACGACTTCACAACTGACAACAACAACAAAGCTCACCAGCCAACTGGTTTTGACTTTGCAGATCTGTCTGTGCCAATATGTTATTTTTATTTTAAAGTTGCATCTTTGCAAAAAGGAGACAAATTTAAAAAGTACAGGAAAGAAACCAAAATTATTTTTCAACACAATGGGATAAGTTGACCAAATCATTGTCAAATCATGGTTAACCTCACCTTCAGTTCAGTTCAGGAAAAAACAAAGAAAATCCAGTTAGCTCTTGAAAAAAGCATTTTTGGGATAATCATGACCTGGATGATTGAGAATCTCCATAGACATTTAGCCCTGTACTTGCCACCAGTTAACAAGGGTTTAGCTCAGGACAAGTTCCATTTTTTCAAGTCAGTTAAGCCCCATCAACAAACCATGATCCCAAGCACAGCTAGCCAATGAAATCTCCTTCACCTTTTTCTGCTCGCTCAATGATCTGTCTCAGAGCTTTCTTTAAACTATTGGCCCGTAGCATCAGCTGTTCTCGGGACTTGAACATCTGTTGCGTTGGAGAAGCTGCGTTGTTCTCGGTCAACGGCTCTTTGGCGTCCGACAAAGATTCCTCGCTCGATGACTCGTCCGGTTCTTCCTCTGTGATGGGGGTGGTAGCCATGTGGGGAAAGCTCGGACTAACCTGGGTTTCAGCATGGAGAGCCTGGAGCAATAGACTCAACTTCTCATTCAGTTCTGAGCACTAAAAAAAAAAGATTATAAAGGGATATAAAAAAGCTGCTGATACAGTTCTAGAGAGGAATTGTTGAGTGCCGTTTGTAGAAGAGCAACCAAGATGATTAAAGGCCTGGAGACTAAAACATACGAAGAACGGGTGCAAGACTTGGGTTGGCTAGTCTAAAGAAAAGAAGAAATAGGGGAGACATGATAGCAGCTTTCCAGTGTTTGAGGGGTTACCACAAAGAAGAGGAAGTCAAATTATTCTCCAAAGCACCAGAGGGCAGGATGAGAAACAATGGTTGGAAACTGATCAAAGAGAAGCAACCTAGAATTAAGGAGAAACTTCCTGACAGTGAGGACAATTAACCAGTGGAACAGCTTGCCTCCAGAAATCGTGGGTGCTCCATCACTGGAGGTTTTTAAGAAGAGTCTGAAATGGTATCAGTTCTCCTGCTTGAGCAGAGGGGTGGACTAGAGGACCTCCAAGGCTCCTTCCAATTCTATTCTATTCTATTCTATCCAGTGTTGAATGCTCCAACACTGGATGTTTTTAAGAAGAGATTGAACAGCCATTTGAGCAGGAGGCTGGACTAGAAGACCTCCAAGGTCCCTTCCAGCTCTGGATGATGGAGCATCTCCATAGATATCCATGGATGACGACGACAACAACAACAACAATAATAATAAAGTTGGAAGGGACCTTGGAGGTCATCTAGTCCAACCCCCTGCTCAGGCAGGAAACCCTATACCATTTCGGACAAATGGCTGTCCGGTCTCTTCTTAAAAACTTCCAGTGTTGGAGCATTCGCAACTTCTGGAGGCAGGTTGTTCCACTGGTTAATGGTTCTGTCAGGAAGTTTCTCTTTAGTTCTACGTTGCTTCTCTCCTTGATTACTTTCCATCCATTGCTCCTTGTCCTGCCTTCAGGTGCTTTGGAGAATAGCTTGACTCCCTCTTCTTTGGGGCAACCGCTGAGATATTGGAACACAGCTATCATGTCCCCCCTTGTCCTTATCTTCGTTAAACTAGACATACCCAATTCCAGCAATTAAAGGTAGGCTAATCTAGCCATCTTTAACCATCTTTAGACCTGAAAGCCTTCCAATATTTACTGTAAGCTTTCTGTGTATCCACATGAAAGAGACACTAAGGTTGGGGAAATCCGTCGATATAATACCAACACTGAATAATTTCTTTAAATACAACAAACTTAATTCTTACTTTAAGAGCCATGGCGTCCGTTTCTGCATTTCCCACTGGTCTCTCAGGAGTCTTTCCTACTTTGGCCACAAATCCTTTGACGGTTTCACACAAGATCCTTTTTCAGGAGATAAGAAGAGAAATGGGTGGTGTTAAAGCATTCGTTTTACATTAGGCAGTAATTTAGCTCGGGCACTTATCATCTTTTTTTTTTAAAAAAAGCCATTAATACTGTACGTTTTATATTTTACAAATGAAAAAGTTCATGGAATATCTCACACAAAAACCTCCCCTTTCCCCACCTCACTTTTCACTTGTATGACTTGACCGTAAGTAATTGCGTGCTGCATCGATGCTTCAGAGGAACGCAACAGACGGTTGTGTCCATCGAGAGAGGTGGAAAGAGTTCTTTTCAAATTAGAAAGCAATTTTACACACTGGGGTTGAACTTACTTGGCAGACGATATAACAACCGAGTGCTGATCCGAATCAAGGATCTTTGTCAAATGTGTTGCAATTGAATCCTCGTACATGGACATCTGAAAACAGTTTTTTAAAAAAAACAGCTTTGGATTTTAAAATGCAGCTGCATAATAAATATTTGTTTGTCACACAAACACACACAATATCACTAAAGAGAGAGACAAACAGACAGACAGACAGACAGACAGACAGACAGATGGTAGATAGATGATAAATAGATGATAGTTAGCTAGCTAGCTAGCTAGCTAGCTAGCTAGCTAGCTAGCTAGATAGATAGATAGATAGATAGATAGATAGATAGATAGATAGATAGATAGATAGATAGATAGATAGATAGATAGATAGATAGAGGCAGATAAGTTATAGATAAGATACAGATATAGATAGATAGATAGATAGATAGATAGATAGATAGATAGATAAGATAAGATACAGATAGATAGATAGATAAGTTATAGATAAGATATAGATAATACAGATAAGATACAGATAGATAGATAGATAGATAGGTAGATAGATAGATAGATAGATAGATAGATAGATAGATAGATAGACAGATAGATAGATAGACAGATAGACAGATAGACAGATTTTATATATAGATATAGATATATAAGAGATGAGAGAGATGGTGGACATGAACAACAACAACAACAACAACAACAATAATAATGAGTTGGAAGGGACCTTGGAGGTCTTCTAGTCCAACCCCCTGCTTAGGCAGGAAACCCTGTATCATTTCAGACAAGAGACTGTCCAGTCTCTTCATTTGACTGAAGCTATTATCTTGATTAGTTTGTGATTCCGACATGAAAAAGCTGCAATTCTTCGGTGGCATTAAACAGACCACAAATAAATTAAAAATAATAGCAAGCTGTGGGGGTTTGTTCCAATATAAAAAAAAGTTTGAATGTCATGTTTATTATAATGTCATGTTTATTATATATGTTTGGTGGACCAGAATCTATTTCATTTCCTACCAGAAAGGATTGATTCATTGATTGTTGCACTGATGACGTTCCCTAGTTGGGTTATGAATCGTCTGCCAGAAAACCACCAAGCTCAGAGAGCACCAAGGACCCCACAGTTCAACCCTTTATTGGTCTCCCATTATTAGTTGTGAGGAAAGAAAAAACTTCTCTTTCTTCTGCATTTTAGAAATTAAGCACCCAGTGAAAATGTTTGCAATTATTCTTATTACAATATCAAAATTAAATGATATGACTTCCACTAAATGGCATGGTGTTAAGATCCCTAAATCTCATTAATGGCTTTATTGCAAGCTCTTCTTTTTTGCATTTGCTGAAATCCTATACATAATTAATCAAGAGGGAGCATGTTTTGAATTCAGAAGCAACTTCATTTAAATTTCTCTCTGTGTGTGTGTGTGTGTGTGTGTTTGTGTGTAGAAAGAGAGAAGGGAGGACCAGAGGCAGGCAGAGTGTTGTATGCTTTCCATGCCTCTAAATTAGATCTTGTACCATTTAATGACATCTAAAAATTTAGATTTACCTGACAAGCAAATTAGATTTTTTTTTAATCCTTTAATGACACCCCAAAATTTAGATTTACCTGACAGTCTTCAGAATCTTCTTCAGGAGTAACTGGAAGGATGCATCGCTTGGGGGGCAACCTCAGTTCGTACGACATGATGCTCCACCTGAAAAATTCCAAAATTCAAAATTCAGAGAAGCAGGACGGATTCGCAAAGAAGGAATGTCGATCCCGGGAAGATCTGACGATCCTAAACAAAACTTAAAATGGACTCCAGATTGATCGAAAGAGAAAACGATAGACGGATGGGAGATAGAATACATGGATAGCCAGATGGATGTTTAATTGATTGAAAGAGAAGATGATGGATGGATGGATGGATGGATGGATAGATAGATAGATAGATAGATAGATATAGAGGATGGATGGATGGATGGATGGATGGATGGATAGATAGATAGATAGATAGATAGATAGATAGATAGATAGATAGATAGATAGATAGATATAGAGGATGGATGGATGGATGGATGGATGGATAGATAGATAGATAGATAGATAGATAGATAGATAGATAGATAGATAGATAGATAGATAGATAGATAGATAGATAGATAGATAGATAGATATAGAGGATGGATGGATGGATGGATGGATAGATAGATAGATAGATAGATAGATAGATAGATGGATGGATGGATGGATGGATGGATGGATGGATGGATGGATAGATAGATAGAATGGATGGATAGATAGATAGATAGATAGATAGATAGATAGAGAGAGAGAGAGAGAGAGAGAGAGAGAGAGAGAGAGAGAGATGGTAGAGGACAGGAAGGCCTGGAGGAACATTGTCCATGGGGTCGCGATGGGTCGCACACGACTTCGGAACTAACAACAAAACAAAACAAAAACGAGGAAGGAGCTCCCTTACCTGTCTAACATTTTGGTGCTGGCTCGTTCCAACTTTTCTAAGATTTGAGGCAGTTGTGTGTCATCGTCGCAGGAACCCCCCCAGCCGAGGACCCGGGCAAGGTCATTTCCCGTCCCAAGTGGCAACACTCCCAAATGACACTGAAAGGAACGCAAAATTTGAGATTTGGGATTCGCTTTTTGAGAGTCCGTTTGCTCTAGGCGCCAGGCTAGAAAGCAGGAGGCCGTGAGTTCGAGTCTTGCCTTAGCCATGAAAGCCCACTGGGTAAGTTTGGACGAATCACCAGGAGACTGGGAGTTCTAGTGCCACCTTATCTATGAAAGCCAGATGGGTGACTTTGAACCAATCACCAGGAGACTGGGACTTCTAGTCCCACCTTACCTATGAAAGCCAGATGAGTGACCTATGGCCAATCACCAGGAAATTGGGAGTTCTAGTCCTGCCTTAGCCATGAAAGGCAGTTGGGTGACTTTGGACTAATCACCGGGAGACTGGGAGTTCTAGTCTCACCTTAAGTCATGAAATAATAAAATAATAAATAAAATAAAATAAAATAAAATAAAATAAAAATAAAACAATAAAATAAAATAAAATAAAATAAAAAAATAAAATACAATAAAATACAATAAAAATAATAAAATAAAATAATACAATACAATGTAATGCAATACAATACAATACAATACAATACAATAATAAAATAAAATAATAAAAATTATCCTGTTTAACCTTAACTACTGTTAAACTCTATGACAATGTTTAATTATAATGATGACATGTTCTTTTTTTCTTTCCTAGTTTTTTAAAAACAAAGCTGCCTTCACTTCTCTTTAGGAGAAAGAAACAAGACACTCGCCTGTTTGTGTAGGTTGAGCTTATCAATTTCGGACAACACCCAGCCAACGCTGCCATCTCCTCCGCACACCAGGATTCGAAAATTGTCAAACTTCTGAAATAACCGCAAACTGAAAAAAAAAGGAGAAGGCGTGTTCTGTATTCGAATCCATCCTCTTAGCCGGAGAATCTCATAACCCTGAAAGTCAACTGTGTTGGGAACAAAGCGTTGGAGAACTTTCTAGGCAAAAAAAACCAGCGCCTTTAAAATCATATTCAAATAGTACTGAGAACCCCCAAAAGAATATATTATTAAGAATATATTAATAATACATATTAATAATAGATGTTATTAAGCAGAAACGTTTAGATCGAACAAATGACAGGAGGAAATGAGAAACAGATATCAGCCCAGTGAAGAAAACAAACTAGGAATCCAAGGTCGGGATTACAGAGAGCCCTCAACTTGTTTTGTGACCGTTCAAAGTTACAACGGCACTGAAAAAAGGGACAGGACCATTTTTCACACTTACGACTGTAAGGGAATTCCATTTACCAAAGTTTTTAATCAGAAAAGGGATGGCAAAACGCAGGATGCCTGGTGTGTGACGTCTGTGATTTTTGGGGAAGAGAAATAATATGAATTGTTCGCCCCCGGAGAAGAATCCAGAGCAGCGTTTTTCAAACTTGGCAACTTGAAGATGCATGGACTTCAACTCCCAGAATTCCCCAGCCAGAAGGGGGGAATTCTGGGAGTTGAAATCCAGATTTCCTTTCACATTGCCAAGGTTGGGAATCAACCCTCTAGTCTCGAGGCTGTGGACTCCGTGTCTCTCAAATGATCCGACCGTGCATTTCTGCTCATCCGCTTTTCATTCCTTTCCCAAATAACCCTGGATAGCAAATAAACCAGGTTACCCTAAATGAGGCCCCCCGTTCATTAAATCGAAGACCTGAGCTGGGTTTAGCGACTGCTTGAAGCGCCGAAGGAATTTCACGCCCTGATTGTCTCCGCTCTTTGAATTCACAAAAACCAGCAGAGGACTGGCGCACGTGGGTGGACAGGTCGCTTTCCAGAAACCTGGAAATAAAATAATATCAACCAGCTAAAACTCCTTTCCTATCTCCAGCAGTTACAATCAAGAGGTTCTTAATGAATTGGGGAGACAATTTTGGACTACAGGATGGAGGATTCTTACAAATAGCCTCAGAGAACGGGATAGCAAGAGTTGGAAGGGACCTTAGAGGTCTTCTAGTCCAACCCCCTGCTCAAGCAGGAGACCCTATACCATTTCAGACAAGATGGCTGTCCAATCTCTTCTTAAAAGTCTCCAGTGTTGGAGCACCTACAATTTCTGGAGGCAGGTAGTTCCACTGGTTAATTGTTCTAACCGTCAGGAAGTTTCTCCTTCGTTCTAGGTTGCTTCTCTCCTTGATTAGTTGCACCTGTTGCTTCTAGTCCTGCCTTCAGGCACTTTGGAGAATAGCTTGACTCCCTCTTCTTTGGGGCAGCCCCTGAGATATTGGAAGGCTGCTATCATGTCCCCCCTCGTCCTTCTCTTCATTAAACTACTAGACCTACCCATTTCTAGCAACTGTTCTTCATATGTTTTAGCCTCCAGTCCCCTGATCATCTTGGTTGCTCTTCTCTGTGCTTTTTCCAAAGTCTCAACATTATATATATGTATGTATATATACCAAAGCTGGATGCAGTGTTCCAAGTGTGCTCTTACCAAGACTTTATAAAGAGGTGCTAAAATTCTTTGCTTTTCATCGGCAAAGGCCAATATGTTTTAGAACATAGAAAATGCATTTCTGTGTTTGAATTTATGGCAATCTGCCAGGGTCTATAGAAATTGAAACCTAATTAGAAGCATGAATCTGGGTGCGTGTATTTTAAGTGTCATTAGTTCTCTTACATTAATTTGCATGGAAATCAGCAAGAAATTGTCTTCCTAGTTTAATGTCTAGTTGAGTGAAAAGAAGGACATGCTGGCAGTGTTCCAATATCTGAGGGGCTGCCATAAAGAAGAGGGAGTCAAGCTATTCTCCAAGGTAGGACAAGAAGCAATGGCTGGAAACTGATCAAGGAGAGAAGCAACCTGGAACTAAGGAGAAACTTCCTGACAGTGAGAACAATTAACCAGTGGAACAACCTGCCTCCAGAAGCGGTGAATGCTCCAACACTGGAAGTTTTCAAGAAGAGACTGGACAGCCATTTGTCTGAAATGGAATAGGGTTCCCTGCCGGAGCAGGGGGTTGGACTAGATGACCTTCCAACTCTATTATCCTATTCTATTCTATTCTATTCTATTCTATTCTATTCTATTCTATTCTATTCTATTCTATTCTTCATTCTTCTATTTCTATTCTATTTATTCTACTCTACTCTATTCTATTCATTCTTCTGTTCTATTCTATTCCTATTCTATTCTATTCCTATTCCTATTCTATTCTATTCTTCATTCTTCTGTTCTGTTCTGTTCTATTCTACTCTATTCTATTCTATTCTATTCTATTCTACTCTATTCTAGTCATTCTTCTGTTCTATTCTATTCTATTCTATTCTATTCTTTATTCTTCTGTTCTATTCTATTCTCTCTACTCTATTCTATTCATTCTTCTGTTCTATTCTATTCTTTATTCTTTTGTTCTATTCTGTTCTATTCTATTTTACTCTATTCTATTCATTCTTCTGTTCTATTCTATTCTATTCTTTATTCTTCTGTTCTATTCTATTCTACTCTACTCTATTCACTTCTGTTCTATTCTATTCTATTCTACTCTATTCTATTCTTCATTCTTCTATTTCTATTCTATTCTATTCTTTCTACTCTACTCTATTCTATTCCTATTCTATTCTATTCTATTCTATTCTATTCTATTCTATTCTATTCTATTCTATTCTATTCTATTCTATTCTATTCTATTCTATTCTATTCTATTCTATGCTATAAAGTACTAAGACATTCACATTCTGCTTGAATTGCTTCCATCTCCTTTCTGGTGTCTTGCAAACTGTCCTGTACCATTATCCACGTTACAGGTGGTATGCACTCATGCAGCACACACCATGCATGTTACATACATCATACATTTGCCATGTTAACATACATACCATCCGAATCTATGCTGTTCAGTGCCGTGGGCGGAATAATTGAGACTTTGCACTGGCCCAGCGGACACTTGCGCGGATACGAGTCTCTGCAAGCTGTATGCACCTGGAAAGGGGTTCATAAAATGGAGGCGCCGTGGATTATTAAAAAGGCGATTTGATGGCAAAAAGGCAAATCTGAAAACAGGCAGTCCTCAATTCAATGACCACCACTGACCCCAAAAGTTCTGTTGTTAAGTGAATCCGGCTTGACTTCGCTTGTCAGAAGGTCACAAAAGGGAGTCACAGGACCCCGGGACACTGCAACCGTCGTAAATACAAGTCAGTTGCCAAGCCTCTGAATTTCGATCACGTGCGACGGTCGTAAGTGCGAAAAACTGTTTTCAGTGCTGTTGTTAACTTCACATTGTCACTAAGGGAACTGCTGTAAGCCGAGGACTAGCTGTAAAGCAGTTTCCAAACTAACATCTGAGAGTCGTGCATGATTAAATTGTGAATAATCATTTGATTAATTTAACGACTGAGCCAGAAGGCCCGAGCCGTGCCTCTGGATTTTGCCAAGGAGCAAATCCAAGGCTCCACATTTGAGCTTGACAGATCGCCTGGTTTTGCTTCAGATGATTAATATTTGCCCCAAAACAAAATAAACTGTTTTCTGGGGGGGGGGAGAACTGCTCTTTGTGTAGCCTGCTCAAACTTCCCATGTGGGGTTTTGCACCTGCGTGCAGCCTTCTCTGGGGACAGAGATTGAACTCGGGAACTTTGGAGACAGGAAACGTGGCTATGTTTTGGGGGTCACGGAGAGGGTTCACCCGGCCCCAGAGAAGCTCCATCTGCAGCCCTGGAACCCCCAGATTGGCCTGGAATGAAAAATGCATCTTCCAGCCCTCCTTGTTTTCTTGCAAGCGTTTTGTGAGCCGGACTAGGTAACTTCATTGGTGCTAGAAGGGTGGGGGGTATACAGGGAGGAGGAGGAGGAGGAGGAGGACAACGACGACGACGACGACTGTGGGGTCCTTGTTGCTCTCTGAGCTTGGTTGTTTCTTGCAGATGTTTCATTACCCAACTAGGTAACAATCAATGCTAGTAAGTATACAGAGAGAGGAGGAGGAGGAGGAGGAGGAGGAGGAGGAGGAGAGGAAGGAAGAGGAGGAGAGGAAGGAAGAGGACTGTGGGGTCCTTGGTGCTCTCTGAGCTTGGGGGCTTTCTTGCAGACATTTCATGACCCAACTAGAGAACATCATCAGTGCTAGAATGGAGAGGAGTTTGCAGAGAGGAAGTAGTGGTGGTGGTGGTGGAGGTGGAGGAGGAGGAGGAGGAGGAGGAGGAGGAGGAGGAGGAGGAGGAGGAGGAGGAGGAGGAGGAGGAGGAAGGAAGAGGACTGTGGGGTCCTTGGTGCTCTCTGAGCTTGCTTGTTTTCTTGCAGACCTTTCATGACCCAACTAGGGAACATCATCAGAGCTAGTAAGGAGACAAATTTGCAGAGAGGAGGAGGAGGAGAACAACTGTGGAGTCCCTGGTGCTCTCTGAGCTTGCTTCCCCCTCCTCTCTGTATACCCCCCACCCTTCTGGCACCGATGAAGTTACTTAGTTTGGCTAATGAAATGCCTGCAAGAAAACAAGCATGCTCAGAGAGCAGCAAGGATGCCCCATTCCTCCTATTCCCCCCCTCCTCCTCCTCTCCTCCTCCTCCCCTCCTCCTCCTCCTCCTCCTCCTCCTCCTCTCCTCCTCAACTCCTTTCTAGCACTGATGATGTTACCTAGTTGGGTAATGAAACGTCTGCAAAAAAAACAGCCGAGCTCAGAGAGCACCAAGGACCCCATACTACTACTCCTCCTCCTCCTCCCTTCTAGCACTGATGATGTTACCTAGTTTGGGTAATGAGACACCTGCAAGAAAACAAGCAAGCTGGTTTTTTGATCTGAAGCTGTTTTTACCCAGTTCAGACTGGACTTCTATGTTCAAATTGTATGTAGCAAAATGCATCTTTGCTCTCAAAAAAAAAAAAAAAACAGGAGAATCTTGGTGGGCTTGCAGGAATTCCTGGGTGGGAGAAATCAAAATAATTATTAGAGGGAGGGACAAAGTTCCCTTGTAACTGAAAGACCACAGTGTACTGTATTATGAAAAGGGCCAGGGTGAAATGGCTGAAACCAAATGCGTGGAATCATCAACAGAACTTCTCTAACGAGTAACTTCAAACTCTTGCTAAGTTTACACCTTTTGACCTATCGCAGAAGTACAAAAGACAAGATACATAAAGACCGTTTTAACAGACCCGTCAAAACAATCTTTTTTAAAAAAAAAAACCATTGACAAGGTCCACCATGCGCCATAAGAAAAGCACTATTTGTCCATAATTCAGTGGGTACGTAGAGGAGACAGCTGCTTATCATGCATCTTTTGATTTTCAAAAGGAATAAAAGCATATGAAGGAGAAAACAGACGTCTTATTAAAACGAAATTTCAGGTTGCAGATCCATTTGTTTATGCTTCATGGTCTGATTACTTTTAATTAGGTGAGCTGTTTGGTTTTATCCGGGGGACGAAAACATGGCTAAAATTATAAATCAAGCCGATATGGAATTAAATGAAATGAAATGAAATTAAACTAATTAGGTTAACTATCAGGAATGGCACAGAAACTTAAAAGGGAATCAGGCAGCTGACAAGCTGGGAAGCAACCGCTAGGGCTGGTAGCTTTGCATCCAAGTTCTAAATAAATAGCTTATTATAATAGCTGAAGATTCATCCAGAGTTTCTTTGGCTATTTTCTTTATTAAATGGTTGTCATAAACAATTTCTTCAAAAAGACAGGGAATCAACTGAGAGATGCACCGTAAGAGCCAATGAGTTGATGAGAGCAATTCCTCATAAATAAATAAAGGCAGTCTTGACTTAACAACCACTCCTTTAGTGACCGTTCCAAGTTACAATAGCACTGGAAAAAGTGCTTTTTAACATTTACAACCGTTGCAGCATCCCCACGGTCACGTGATCAAAATTCAAATGCTTGGCAACTGGCATGTACTTATGACAGTTGCAAAGTCCCGGGGTCACTTTTGCAACCTTCTGACCAGCAAAGTCAATGGGGGAAGATGGATTCCCTTAAGAACCCCGTGTTACTGACTTAACAATTGCAGTGATTCATTTACAACCGTGGTGAGAAAGGTCGTAAAGTGGGGCAAAACTCCCTTAACAGATGTCTCGCTTAGCAACCGAAACTCTGGGGGGTCGATTGCAGTCGTACCTTGAGGGCTACCTGTACATTTTAAGTCGCTGTAACTTAAGCAGTAAGTAGTAGGTTCCTACCAACCACAAATGAATCCTCAATGCGATCTGGAAACATGCGTTATTGCAGTCAATTCACTTTCACCTCTGTGCCATTAACACAAAGGGCAAAATGGATAACGTAGTGGATTTTTAAGGAAGTGGACAGCTTTAGAGAAATCTATGCTTTGATTTGAAACTCCCTAATGACAGGAGGTCCTAATAATAATAATAATAATTGTCAATAAGAAAGACAAAAAAGTCTGGATAGTGGACGTGGCAGTGCCTGGAGACACAGAATAGATGAGAAAGAACTGGAGAAGATAACAAAATACAAAGACCTACAAATAGAAATAGAAAGACTGTGGCAAAGGCAAGCAAGGGTAGTACCAATAGTCATAGGCTTCTTGGGTGCAATCCCAAAACAACTGGAGCACCACTTGAACACCATCATCGGCATTGACAAATTCGCCATTAGTCAATTGCAAAAGGCGGCCTTACTAGGAACTGCTTCCATCCTGCAACGATATCTGTAATACCATCAAACATCCACATCTGCCTATCCCAGGTCCTGGGTAAGGACTCGATAGGTAGACAAAAATGCCAAATCCAGTCTGAACATCTGGCTGACTGTGCGATGATCCATAATAATAATAAAGTTGGGAGGGATCTTGGAGGTTATCTAGTCCAACCCCCTGCTCAGGCAGGAAACCCTATACCATTTCGGACAAATGGCTGTCTAGTTTCTTCTTAAAAACTTCCAGTGTTGGGGCGTTCACTGCTTCTGGAGGCAGGTTGTTCCACTGGTTAATTGTTCTAACTGTCAAGAAGTTTCTCCTTAGTTCTAGGTTGCTTCTCTCCTTGATTAGATTCCATCCGTTGCTTCTTGTCCTGCCTTCAGGCACTTTGGAAAATAGCTTGACTCCCTCTTCTTTGGGGCAGCCCCTGAGATACTGGAAGACTACTATCATGTCCCCCCTTGTCCTTCTCTTCGTTAAACTAGACATACCCAATTCCTGCAACCGTTCCTTATATGTTTTGGCCTCCAATCCCCTGATCACCTTTGTTGCTCTTCTCTGTACTCTTTCTAGAGTCTGAACATCTTTTTTACATCGTGGTGACCAAAACTGGATGCAGGATTCCAAGTTTGGCCTTACCAAGGCATTGTAAAGTGGCATTAACACTTCACCTCATCTTGATTCTGCCCCTCTGTTAATGCAGCCCAGCACTGTGTTGGCTTTTTTGGCAACTGCAGCACACGGCTGGCTCCTCTTTAAGGGATTGTCCACTAGGACTTAATGAACTGGAGGGTGAAAGCAGTCGCGATTATGGTCCCAAACACTGATGGTGCTACCCAGCTGGGTAATGAAACGTCTGCAAGGAAACCCAAAGCATCAAAGACCCCCCGCAGTCACAAACAAGCCCACTAGAGCCCCAGTCCTGTCGTGTATGTGTTGTCGATGCACCTAAAAAGGTTCAAACACACAAGCACCGTGATTCTTTTATCACCACCACCACCACTGTCCATGCTTTATGGTCAGCTTCTTGTCCCAGTCCAGGAGAACATCTTCACAAAAGCACGGCCCACACTTACCAGTGTCTTGCACCAAAGGCACTTCCAATCTTGCAGGCGGAGAACACTGCCACAGGTTTTGTCACACACAGCACATCTGGCGCTGACCGGAAGGTTGCCTTCTAGCCACTGATGAGGCATGGCTACCTGGAGGGGAGGTTGATTGGAGTCAATGAGAGGAGAAGTAAGAAAGTTCAACTTCCATCCCTTTTGACTTCAGTCTCATTCCTAGAGTGGGGAATTGGTTGGTCCATTTTCAAACTACTCTGGGTCAGCTTTTGATCCAGGATGAAACTTTGCGTTTCAACTTTCCTTTACATTAAGAGGGTGGGAGGTGTTACTTTCAACTGGGTTAAATGGAGGAATGAAACCTCTTTGATTCAGCTGCAGACAGCAGGAGCCTGAAGCCTTGTCAAGGACATCAGAACAGGTGTGGATTTGAAGCAGATGGTTCCCATCACAAAGTGGACTTCATGATGTGAATGATGTAAGACGTTGGGGGTTTGGCTGGGAAAATGATTGTTTAAGTCTAGTAATCAGTGTGGGAACCTCAGAGTTAGTTTTGCTTCGACATCACCAAGCAGCGTATTCAATAAATAGTAAGATTTTCAGAAACAAAATCAATCTGGAGTTTTATTTGGATTCTCGAGCTGGATGTTGACGCTCTGATTTGAAGAGGTCCACTCACTCACAAGGGACTTTATCCCAGTGTTTTTCCTTGATTGAGGCCATCCTCATGTTCCAAAGAGTAAAAGGAGCCATATGAGTGCAATGAGCTAGAAACCAAGAGGATTATAACTTCTAGTCCACCCTTAGACATGAAATCTGGGTGACTTGAGGTCATTCAGGGTCCCTTGGCTCAACCAATCTCACTGGGGGAAAGAGGAGGCAGGATCACCATGTACTCAGCCTTGAGTTGTACAAAAAAGAATGTGGGGTGCAAACTGATGAAGATGAGGATGATGATGAGGACAAGGAGGAGGTTGAACTGAGGTTGAGGTTGAGGATGAGGGTAACAATGAGATTGAGGGTTAAGCTGAGGATGAGGTTGAAACTGAGGTTGAGGTTGAGGATGAGGATGAGGATGAAGATGAGGATGAGGTTGAAGTTGAGGATGAGGATGAGGAAGAAGATGAGGATGAGGATGATGATGAGGATGAAGATGAGGATGAGGTTGAGGTTGAGGATGAGGATGAGATTGAGGTTGAGGGTGACAATGAAATTGAGGGTTAGGGTGAGGATGAGGTTGAAACTGAGGTTGAGGTTGAGGATGAGACTGAGGTTGAGGTTGAGGATGAGAATGAGGTTGAGGTTGAGAATGAGGATGAAGATGAGTGAAATTAAGGCTGAGGTTGAAACTGAGGTTGAGGATGAAAGTGAGGATAAAAATGATGCTGAAGTTGAAGCTGAGGTTGAGGATAAGGTTGAGATTGAGGTTGAGATTGAGGTTGGGGTGAGGGTGGAAATGATATTAAGGCTGAGGTTGAGGTTGAGGATAAAAATGATGCTGAAGTTGAAGTTGAGGTTGAGGATAAGGGTGAGGATGAGGATGAAAATGATGTTTAGGTTGAGGTTGAGACTGAAGTTGAGAGTGAGAATGAGGATGAAGATGAAGATGAGGATGAGGATGAGGTTGAGAATGAAGATGCAGGATGAGGTTGAAGATGAGGATGATCCCAAGGATTTCCACAACACTTCAAAGATGCCTGAAAGAAGAGCTACTGTATTTCTTAAGAAGCTGAACAGACACCCTCAACATTTCACCAGTGGCATTGTACAGCTTCTCATTCTCAACCCTTGGCCACTAGTGTTCTTTCTTCACAACTGGAAGACCAGGTGGCCTATTGGTCCTAAAATCTGGCCATTTTCTGCAGCTGTGAATGAAGCTATTATAGACACCTCCAAGCTTGCCGGAAAGAAATCTGTAACTCCCTGGGGCCTACTTGAAAATAGTCCAAGGTCTTCTTGGTGATAGAGTTACATCCTGAATTCAATAGGACATCATGTGCTAAAAACATGTTTGCTAGACAGGGCCCACCGCTAGCTACAACCCACCCTGCCTAATTGTTATTACAGCCAATTGTTTTTCAACAAAAAACTGAAGCATGCATGTTGCAAAGACTTACACCATCTTCATCCTCAATGATATCTCTTCCAATTGAAGTCAATGTTGTCCATTTGCAATTATTTATGGCCCGAACGGCACACCTTTTGTGAGCCTTGAACTTGCATACTAGGAAAAAGGAAATGAACTTTAAAAAAGAAACATAGATAGATTCCTGAAAACGTTATTTCTTCGTGTCACAAAATCCATCTTAACCAAATACCCATTTAGGAAGAAGGATTTGCTTCCAACCTTCACCAAAGGTGAAGAGAAGAGAAGAGAATGTAGAATAGAATAGAATAGAATAGAATAGAAGAGAAGAGAAGAGAAGAGAAGAGAAGAGAAGAGAAGAGAAGAGAAGAGAAGGTAGAATAGAATAGAATAGAATAGAATAGAATAGAATAGAATAGAATAGAATAGAATAGAATAGGATGGGATGGGATGGGATGGGATGGGATGGGATGGGATGGGATGGGATGGGAAGAGAAGAGAAGAGAATGCAGAATAGAAGAGAATATAGAATAGAATGGGATGGGATGGGATGGGATGGGATGGGATGGGATGGAAGGGAAGAGAAGAGAAGAGAATACAGAATAGAAGAGAATATAGAATAGAATGGAATGGAACGGAATGGGACAGAACGGAACGGAACAGAACAGAATAGAATAGAATAGATCCTGGAAAATAGAATAGAATAGAATAGAATAGAATAGAATAGAATAGAATAGAATAGAATAGAATAGAATAGAATAGAATAGAATAGAATAGAATAGAATAGAATAGAATAGATTGCGACGGGGTGGAGCAGAACAGAACAGAACAGAATAGAGTAGAACAGAAGCTGGAAAGGACCTTGGAGGTCTTCTAGTCCAGCCCCTATACCATCTCAGACTAGTGAATGTCCAGTCTCTTCTTAAAAACCTCCAGTGATGGAGCACCCACCACTTCTGATGGCAACTTCTGTTCCACTGGTTGATTGTCCTCACTGTTAGGAAGATTCTCCTTAATTCCAGATTGCTTCTCTCTTTGATCAGCTTCCAACCATTGCTTCTCATCCTTCCCTCTGATACCTGATCTATTCAGTCCCGTGGAGGCATTATGATCCTCCTCATACACACGTACACACACAAGTGAGGCTGCTAGGCGGTCTCTTTGTAAGACACCTTATGAAGCCAAGATGCATAGCATCTGCACTCTTACATAAACAAGGGCTGAAAACCACTTCAGACCTTAGCCAAGTCCCTGATAATTATTATTTATCACAATGAACGCCTGTTGCTTGCAAGCGGGCGATTCAGCATCCCAGAAGTTTTGAGCTGGTGGCTTTCCAAGAACAGCTGTCTCTCCAAATGCCTTTGTTGGTTCCAAAGAAAGAAAAGCAAAAACATTAATCTGACAAGATCCAAATCCTGGGACTTATAGTTTAACTTGTCAGCAAGCATTAACAGTCACCTGGGGATCCCCCGAGTGTGTTATTTAGTTTCCAATAACATGGATAACCGGGTTTAAAAAAACCCTGCAAATGGAATCCAAGAATTGTACATGGAATGAATCAAGGTACTCATTTAAGGAGAAACTTCCTAATTGTGAGAACAATGAACCAGTGGAACAGCTGGCCTTGAGAACTTGTGGGAGCTTCATCACTGGAGGATTTTAAGAAGAGACTGGACTGACATCTGTCAGAAATGGTATTCCATTCCATTCCATATTTTCTATTCTGTTCTGTTCCGTTCCATTCTGCTCCATCCCGTCCCATCCCATCCCATCCCATCCCATCCTATTCCATTCCATTCTATTCCATTCCATTCCATATTTTCTATTCTGTTGCGTTCCGTTCCATTCCGCCCCACCCCACCCCACCCCATCCCATCCCATCTCATCCCATCCCATCCTATTCCATTCCATTCCATTCCATTCTATTCTATTCCATTCCATATTTTCTATTCTGTTGCGTTCCGTTCCATTCCGCCCCATCCCATCCCATCTCATCCCATCCCATCCTATTCTATTCCATTCCATTCTATTCCATTCCATATTTTCTATTCTGTTGCATTCCATTCCACCCCATCCCATCCCATCCCATCCCATCCCGTCCCGTCCCGTCCCGTCCCGTCCCGTTCCGTTCCATTCCATTCCATTCCATTCTATTCTATTCTATTCTATTCTATTCTATTCTATTCTATTCTATACATGACCCACATTTAATCAAAGTCCTGACCCCAGCTACTGCAGGTTCTCTTCCTTCTCATGCTCCATGCAAAAAAGAAATAAAACAAATTGCTGGGACCTGTCAGGTTCGAACATGTCGTGTGAATTTTGTTCTTATCCAAAAAGCAGAACAAATCTGAGCGATTGCAGCCAACGGTCGCGTTGAAGCTGCAAGGCCACCATTTCTCCGATGGGCTGAACAGTCCAAACCAGCCATTGAGATGCCTCAACTTACAACTACAGCGACTTACAACCAACACCCCAGTCGCAAGTCAAGGATCTCCCGTGACCCATCGCACGCCCACAGATCAGCAAACGGCAATCCATTCTCGGAAAAGGCAGATTCACTAACCGATGAGTGAAAGCACGGCTGAATTGTCCAGGCTAGAAAGAAAGACGCTGAACTGACACAAGCCAGCAGAAATTACCGCTCTATTTAAGCAAAGGGACTCTTAACTCTGCCTTTTAGGGCTAAACTATTACCTTCGCAAGACAAACCGTGGGAAGTAACTCCGGAGAGGCTTTCGCGGCAGACGTTGCAAAAAGTGGGCCTCGCGTGGGAACAAGCATACCAGTTGTGCATCCCTGAAAAGTGCTCCACGTTAAACTGGGCCGCCTAGTAAAAAAAGTTAAAAGACAGATTGCCACATGCACGATGCGCCAGGGTTACCATCACCACATTTTGGAGAAGTTCCTCTTTTGAGCAACCCCCCCCCACAAAAAAAAAAATAAGACATTCATTCTTTTGAAGCAAAAAAGAAAAAAGAAAGAACAGGCTAAATATAAACCTCAGCTCAGTCTTCGTGCGTTTATTAAGAACACAAACATTTTCCTTCCTGTTTTTTGCATCTTAATAAAGGGAGAATCCTGAATTATTCTTTAAAAAAATAAAACAGCGGTCCCAAAGGCCCGTTCAGCTTACCTCGTAATGTTCTCGGGACTGGACCGACTTCAACGAAGTAATCCAGTCTTCCATCTCTTTTCTGTTCTCTGCACACAATATCAGTCTCCTGAATGGGGTGATTATCTGAAAAGGATTGCCAATTGCTAAAGGGAAGGCAGACCCAAATGGAACATAAAAAATAAGGAAACGTCCTTTTCTCCGACACATAAAGGAGAACGTTCCCCTTTATCGCCGTCGTAAGAGCAAATTAAACCAGCAGCCACAATACTCAAAAAAAGCTTTCGTTGTTGTACATTTCAGAACACAATCATTGACTTTGCCAGCACTAGATTTGTACACGCCCAGAGGGGGAAAAAAATATCAGAATGTTCTACGGGTGTGTTTTAAAACACGTCTGTAGTTTTATAAAGGAGTAACGAGGGTTGGGAGAGATCAATCTTTCTTGATATCCTGCATTTGACAAGCATACAATTATCTAAGGATTTTGGGTAACCAGAGATTGTCGTGCTAAGCAAAACACAGCACAGCGTGACAGAGGGAAGGCTGTCAATTATCTGAGTTGACGAACATTCCCGTTCAGATGGGTCGCCCTGCCAAATCTTAAATTTGAATATCCCTTGGTCTGAAATTCTTCAGGATTATTAAAACGAAGACGAACAATATACACCTCTGACTTCTGGGAAGCAACAAGTTCAGAACACGAAGCAGAGAACATACTTTTTCCATCCTGGCTAAATGCATCGCCTGCTATATTTTTTACCTTTCCGGAGACATCATTTTGGAAAGCTTAAATGATGCTATAATCTATTAACATCAGCAGAACGCAATTCCAGAATCTCAATTCCATGTAAAGATCCACTAGAGCGTTGCCTATTTGATAAACCTGGTTTAGCATCTTGCAAAATTAGAAGATCTTCCTGGCCACAATTTACCCTGTCTTTTTGGCAGTGTGTTCAGTCTTCGCTTCTCTCCACAAATGGCACTAACACATCAGGCAAGCTCACTCAGTACACACACACACACACACACACACACACACACACACACACACACACAGCCCAAGAGTCACGTGGAAACAGCAGAAACTCCCGAGCATTTTAATATAAACTAAACAGAAGGATCTTTTTCCGTCTTTCTCTTTCCTGCCCCCTTCACACCCTTAGTATCCTTTTCCTGAACGTCGGCAAATGAACAAGCAACTAAACTTCATTTTTAATTTGTACCATTGTGCCCACAATAAAAAATGACAATAAAGGTTATCTATCTCACTATTGCTCTATCTCTCTATCTATCATCTATCCTGTCTGTCTGTCTGTCCGTCTGTCTCTATCTATCTATCTATCTATCTATCTATCTATCTATCTATCTATCTATATCATCTATCTATCATAGCTATCATCTCTCTCTCTCTCTCTATCTATCTATCTATCTATCTATCTATCTATCTATCTATTAGGCTGCCAAACTGTATTTCTTGCTCTGAGTTGGAAGAAATAATGGAATGGAATAGAATGGAATGGAATAGAATGGAATGGAATAAAAATAATAGAATAGAATAGAATAGAATAGAATAGAATAGAATAGAATAGAATAGAATAGAATAGAATAGAATAGAATAGAATAGAAAATATGGAATGGAATGGAAACAGAATGGAAACAGAATGGAATGGAATGGAATGGAATGGAATGGAATGGAATGGAATGGAATAGAATAGAATAGAATAGAATAGAATAGAATAGAATAGAATAGAATAGAATAGAATAGAATAGAATAGAATAATGGAATGGAATAGAATGGAATAGGATAGGATAGGATAGGATAGGATAGGATAGGATAGGATAGGATAGGATAGAATAGAATAGAATAGAATAGAATAGAATAGAATAGAATAGAACAGAACAGAACAGAACAGAACAGAACAGAACAGAACAGAATAGAATAGAATAGAATAGAATAGAATAGAATAGAATAGAATAGAATAGAATAAGAAGGGAAGGGAACAGAACAGAACAGAAGAAATAAACTGGATAATTGACTCAATTATTCACACTGTGATCAAACCAAATCATGAAGCCTTCAAAACAGATTCTTGGCCATCAACTGGAAGGTTTTGTGCATCTCTTTTAAAGCAGCAACGTTGTTTTCAAAGCAACCGTTGCCTCTTTGCAAAGTTGCAGGAAGCATGATCAGGCACAAAATATCATCGCTTCCCGTCAGCTACGCTGTTTTCTACCCCTCCAACTTTCTTCTAGAAAGACCCAATAAAATGTCCAAATAAACCACTAAGTGGAAAATAATCATGTTGTTATTGTTATTGTCGTCGTTGTTAGTAGTAGTAGTAGTATTAGCTAAAAGTATCTTAATGGTCTGTGGAGATTCTCAATCATCCAGGTTGTCCCAAAGGAGGTTTTTTTTTTCCCCCGAAAAGCAACTGAATTTTCTTGTTTTTTTTTTTCTTTGAAAACCTTTTGCTTCTCATCCCGAGAAGCTTCTTCGGTTCTGAACTGAAGAACTGAACTGAAGAGGCTTCTTAGGTGAGAAACGAAACGTTTTCAAGGGAGGAAAAAAACCCTCAAGAAAGTTCAGTTGCTTTTTGGAAAAAGCACCTTTCTTGGGATTCTTGGAAGAATTGAGGGGAAGGTGGAGTTGATCCGTCAGCTCAACTAAATCAGATTCCCAGTTAAACATCTGTTGCGTTCAGGGAAAAGAGAGTGAAAGAAAGGAAAACAGACAGAAAGGCAGAATAATAATAATAATAATAATAATAATAATAATAATAATAATAATAATAATAATAATAATAATATTGACAATAATAATATTGACAACATCAAGCACACTGAAGTCAAGAAAAAGATTAGAAGTGAATACATCAAGAGAGTGAAGAAAATCTTAAAATCCAAACTCAATGGAGGAAATACAATAAAGGCAATCAACACCTGGGCAATCCCAGTCATTAGGTACACAGCTGGAATAGTGGACTGGATTCAAGCAGAACTAAAAGCAATGGATAGGAAGACCAGAAAAATAATGACAATGAATCACACCCTTCATCCATGCAGTGACATTGACAGACTTTATCTACCAAGCAAATAGGTGGGCGTGGAATGCTACAAGTACATCAGATGGTTGAAGAAGAAAAAATGGCTTTGGAAGAATATCTGAAGAACAATGATGAAGATGCACTGAAATTTAGTATATCAGAAGGCTTACTAAACGAATGGAGAGAACCAAACTGGCCTCAGAAGACCAAATGAAGAACAGATAAGGCCTGGGAAGTACAAAGCCTACATTGCCAATACATGAAAAAAATAGCTGGAAAGCAGATAATAATAAAACCTGGCAATGGCTAATGAGCAGGAAAATTGAAGCAGAGACGAGGGACTAATTCTGGCTGCACAAGAACAAGCCTTAAGGCAAAAATGCATACAAAGTCAAAATGAGAAGACAGCAACAGACAGTAAGTGCCGCCTATGCAAAAGCTGAAGAAACAGTGGACCACTTGGTAAGCTGTTGCAAGAAGATTGCACAGACTGATTCACAAGCAGCGACATACAAGTAGCACAATGGTGCATTGGAAGATCTGCAAAAAATATCATTTGCCTGTAAGCAAAAACTGGTGGGAATCATAAAATAGAGAAAAGTCATAGGAAATGATAAAATTAAACGGCTCTGGGACTCAGAATTCAAAACAGACAAGCACCTCAACATAACACCCCAGACTTAACAATTGTCGATAAGAAAGACCAAAAAGGTCTGGATAGTCGCACGTGGCATTGCCTGGAGACGCAGAATATAAGAGAAAAGAACTGTGAAGATAACAAAATACAAAGACCTACAAATAGAATAGAAAGACTGTGGCAAAAAAGCAGCAAGGGTAGTACCAATAGTCATAGGCTCCCTTGGGTGCAATCCAAAACAACTGAGCAAACAACTTGAACACCATTGGCATTGACAAATTTGCTATTAGTCAATTGCAAAAGGCGGCCTTACTAGGAACTGCTTCCATCCTGCGACGAGATCAAACCTCCTCATCTGCCTACCCCAGGTCCTTGGGAAGGACTCGATAGGTAGACAAAATGCCAAATCCAGTCTGAACATCTGGCTAACTGTGCAATGATCCATAATAATACTAATACTAATAATAATATTAATACTACTAATAATAAAGTTGGAAGGGACCTTGGAGATTATCTAGTCCAAACCCCTGCTCAGGCAGGAAACCCTACCCCATTTCGGACCAATGGCTGTCCAGTCTCTTCTTAAAAACTTCCAGTGTTGGAGCATTCACCGCTTCTGGAGGCAGGTGGTTCCCCTGGTTAATTGTTCTGCTCTCCTTTACTTACATATTATTAAGTTCCTTCTTCAGCTGCATCCAAGTGTCGAAAACAAGCCCACCAGGAGGACTTGGGTTAAGACTTCGTCAGTGCTGGGATTCAGCCGGTTCGTACCCGGTAGCTAATCTTTTGATGTCCAGCAGGCCCAGAATGGACTTCCGGAAGTGGCATCCATGTAGAGAACCAGTTGTTGACGTATTTGAATCCCACCACTGGACTTCGGCAAATAAGTATGTTGACGAAATGAAGCCATCTAGCTCCACAGAAACTCATAAAGTGACCTCAGATCTCTCTCTCTCTCTCTCTCTCTCTCTCTCTCTCTCTCTCTCTCTCATTTCTCTGTCTCTGTCTGTCTGTCTGTCTGTCTCTCTCTCTCTCTCTCTCTCTCTCTCTCTCTCTCTCTCTCTCTCTCTCTCTCTCTCTCTCTCTCTCTCTCCCTCCGCCCTATTTAACTCAAAGCATTGTTTGGGGAAAAATGGGAGGAGGGAGCACCCAGTGGGCCACCTTGAGATATTCATCTCGGGATCTCCCGTCCAACAATCAGATAAGAAAGTACAAGAGGTGATCTTGGCTTAACAGTCCCACGTAACAGGCCTGGGCGTTGTCTACAGCCAACAGAGCCAATTCTGGGAAAGATTGCGCTATCAATAGTTGCTTTAAGAAAGGGTTTTGACAGTGAGAACAACTAACCAGTGGAACCACCTGCCTCCAGAAGCAGTGAATGCTCCAACCCTGGAAATTTTTTTTTTAAGTGCTCATTTTATTATTATTATTATTATTAAAAAGTGTTTATTTCCCATTTATTCATACAAAATACAATTAACCATTGGTACCGCCTGCTCATTCCCCCCAGGCTGCGTCCACCCTCTCTAAACCTTCCCTACTTCCCTCCTCTTTCTCTCCTCCCCTCCTACTCTCTTCCCCTCCCCATCTCCTCTAACCATCCTACTTCCTCCCTACTCCTTCCTCCCCTCTCCTCCCTCTCACACACATGAACGCAGCATAGGGGAAATGCCCAAGCATTTACCATGACTATATTATCATTACCCACCCACTCACCCACCCACTCACCCTCGACCTTGGAAATTTTTAAGAAGAGGCTGGACAGCCATTTGTCTGAAATGGTATAGGGTTTCCTGCCTGAGCAGGGGGTTGGACTAAATGACCTCCGAGGTCCCTTCCAACATCATCATCATCATCATCATCATCATCATCATCATCATTATTATTATTATTATTATTATTATTATTATTATTATTATTATGCGGGGTATAATTTGCACAACCAGAGAAAGGTTGCAGAAAAGAAATTGCATGACCCTGGGACACTGTGACCATCGTAAATATGAGTCAGTTGCTGAATGTCTGAATTCTGATCACGTGACCATCGGGATGCTGCAATGGTTGTTAAGTGTGAAAGACAATCATAACTCATAAGTCAATCTTTTCATTGCAGTTGTAAATTCGAACAATCCCTAAACGAACTGTTGTAACCTGAGCAGTATCTGTACTTGCTCAGGGGTGGGGAACTAGGGCCCCTTTATGACTTGTGGACTTCAACTCCCAGAATTCCTTAATAGGAATGGAATGGAAAATGTGGAATGGAATAGAACGGAATGGATTAGAATAGAAAATGTGGAATGGAATGGAATGGAATGGTAGAGGACAGGGGAAGGGAAGGGAAGGGAAGGGAAGGGAAGAGAAGAGAAGAGAAGAGAAGAGAAGAGAAGAGAAGAGAAGAGAAGAGAAGAGAAGAGAAGAGAAGAGTTGAAAGGGACCTTGGAGGTCATCTAGTCCAACCCCGTGCTCAGGCAGGAAACCCTATCCCATTTCAGACAAATGGCTGTCCAGTCTCTTCTTAAAAACCTCCAGGGTTGGAGCATGCACAACTTCTGGAGGCAAGTCGTTCCGCTGGTTAATTGTTCCAACTGTCAGGAAATTTCTCCTTCGTTCTAAGAATCTTGGGAGTTTGTTTATTTATTTATTTATTTATGAGACTTATATACCGCTTTAAGTGCAAGCACTCTCTAAGCAGTGTACACCAGTAAGCAATGTGTATATATATATTTACATTGCCCCCAACCATCTGGGTCCTCATTTTACCTACCCCGGAAGGATGGAAGGCTGAGTCAACCTTGAGCCGGTGAGATTTGAACCGCTGACCTGCTGAACACAGTCAGCTAAAGTGGCCTGCAGTACTGCACCCTAACTGCTGCACCACCTCGGCTCTTGTTGAAGTCCACAAGTCATAAAGGGGGCCGGGGTTCCCCAACCTGTGCTTTAAGAGCTAAGAAAAGGCAGCTGTACTTTTCCCAGGTGCCCAGAACGAAACAACAAAGCTGTTGGCAGAGCAAAATAAAAAATAAAAAATTTAAAAAAGGTAAAAGGTGAAGCAACAGAAGCCGGAGAATTCGTCAATGGAAACAGGACCGGCTTCGTAAAAGACCAGCCGGGAGATTTTGTGCGTTATCTGATCAAACGAAGAACAGAAGGGCTGTACTTTCACGAGGCAGGTAAAACGGCCCTCTTTCACGGATGCTGAACGAGGAAAAGGACTATTATTTCATGCAATCCAATATTTAACCGGGGAGAGCACCAGATTTTGGCGATAAGGCGTGGGTGAGCCCAGAGACAATGGCTTTTTCGAACCAAACACCCCTGGGAGGCTGCAAAATCGGTTGCTTTTGAACAACAAATGTAGAGTCACCTTTACAGAAGGCTCACCTAGCCGCAGGAGAGCCCCATCCCTCATTAAATTGCTCCCAGTTACGAAAGAGGTAAAAAAAATAACACACACACACACAAAAACAACCCAGCTCTCCGCACCGCAAAGGATTGTACGCAGAGAAGGGAAGCTTGTTTCATTGTGCTCGGCCTTTTCATTACGGGCTGACTTCAGTGGAACAACTAAAAGCTTTCCAAGAATATCCCACGTAAAAGACCGGTGTGAATTTGTTCACATGGCTGCAACCTGTTTTTTTGGACCATACCTTGTGGACACATCTGAAAGAACTTTCTTCTACTCTGCTTTTTCCTTCCGCAAACCAACGTTTGCATCAAATCACGGGGGGGGGGGGGGAAGGGCCTAAGGCATGCAGTTAAGTATGCACTTAGAGCAGTGTTTCCCAAAGTTGACAATTTTAAGGCATGTGGACTTCAACTCCCAGAATTCCACAGCCAGCGTTGCTGGCTGTGGAATTCTGGGAGTTGAAGTCCTCATGCCTTAAAATTGTCAACTTTGGGAAACACTGACTTAGAGGATTAGGAACTGTCTACTTCCTCCATTTTCTTTACATTCCTTTCTACTCCTCCTCAGTTTGAACATAAGGATTCTGTTGGAACTTGAATTCTGGAAAATGCAGCTAAACAACGGACAGGAACGGTATTGTGTCTATGGACAACAAGCTAAAGCAGGGGTCTTCAAACCTGGCCCTTTGATGACTTGTGGACTTCAACTCCCAGAATTCCTCAGCCAGCCTCCATTTTGTTTGTTAGATTTAAGACAGAGGTCTTCAAACTTGGCCCTTTGATGACTTGTGGACTTCAACTCCCAGAATTCCTCAGCCAGCCTCCATTTTGTTGGTTAGATTTAAGACAGGGGTCTTCCAACTTGGCCCTTTGATGACTTGTGGACTTCAACTCCCAGAATTCCTCAGCCAGCCTCCATTTTGTTGGTTAGATTTAAGACAGGGGTCTTCCAACTTGGCCCTTTGATGACTTGTGGACTTCAACTCTCAGAATTCCTCAGCCAGCCTCCATTTTGTTGGTTAGATTTAAGACAGGGGTCTTCCAACTTGGCCCTTTGATGACTTGTGGACTTCAACTCTCAGAATTCCTCAGCCAGCCTCCATTTTGTTGGTTAGATTTAAGACAGGGGTCTTCCAACTTGGCCCTTTGATGACTTGTGGACTTCAACTCCCAGAATTCCTCAGCCAGCCACGCTGGCTGAGGAATTCTGGGAGTTGAAGTCCACAAGTCATAAAAGGGTCACAGTTCCCTCAGGCTGGCTGAGGAATTCTGGGAGTTGAAGTCCACAAGTCATCAAAGGGCCAAGTTTGAAGACCCCTGAGCTAAAGCAACGCCAATTCTGTAAGCAGAGAGGAAATGTCCTAATCCTTGTAGGATATTAATTGTATTAATAATCCTTTACCGCAACGAATACACAATTTGAGTGGTTTGTTATTACAGGTTGCCCTCGACTTTGCTTGTCAGAAGATCATGAAAAGGGATCACATGACCTTAGGGACCCTGGCAACTGTCGTAAGTACATGCCAGTTGCCAAGCATTTGAATTTGGATCACGTGACCTTGAGGAGGCCACAATGCCCGTCAGGTGAAAAATAGTCCTAAGTCCCTTTTTTCAGTGCCGTTGTAACTTTGAACGGTCACTAAATGGGACTGTTGTAAGACGAGGACTTCCTGTATTGTATTTTAGCCCAAACAGACTTGGGTGGGCATAACCTGCCATGTTTCCAAGGCTTTCTGAAGAATTTTCATTCCAATATATTCTTCAGTTGACTTTCTTTCTCTCCTCCCTGCTCTCCGAGCAAAAATCGAAATTTCAAAGCTGTCGGCGGCCGCTCAGGAGCCCTCAAGTGTACACGTCACCTACCGTGAAGCTGTTGTTGACATTTTTTGTGCTCGATTCAGCCACGCTGGCATCTGACAGGTCAACCTCATCGAATATTAAGGACTGTGGGAAGAAAGACAGAGAGGCAAGTCAGCTTTTCTCGTTAATTTTCTCCTGCTTTTTTTTTTTTTGAAAAGTTTTATAAAAGTTACAATATACACCCCAAAACCCACCCACCCTAAAAAAAAACCCTCTCCCTCCCCCACTTCCCAGAGCTGAGTACAGGGTAACAAATATAATAATCATACTCTAACTAACATTAACCAACTATGTAAATAACCCAGTCCATAATGCGCTTTAACTCCCCTTTAACATAAAAATAAACAAATTAAAAATAAGCATAATAATATAAACAAGTTAATATCCTAATTCTTGAACAATACAATATCCAAATTGTTAAACAATATTAATGCTAAAAATAATAATAAAACTAATAAAAATTCCACTATAGTAAACTATTAATAATAATAATAATACTCTAAAATTTACTGATAAAGTAAATGGAACTTTTTAGTCCCATATTTATCCTGAATATAATCTATCCATCTTCTCCAAACCGGAATGTATCTTTCTTGTGAATGATCCTTCAAATAAGCAGAAATCTTAGCCATTTCTGCTAAATTTGAGACTTTAAGCGTCCATTCTCCTGCTTTTTTTTTAATGGGAAAAAAAATATCACAGCACCTAAACCGACAGGCTGAACCCGTGAAGAAGTCTAGGAACATGAATTAGGTAAAATGCTGAGTTCTTTTTTTTTTTAAAGAAAAAAAAGAAAGGAAGTTAAGATGTCTAAGCTCTGCCTCTTTACCTCATTATCCTTATGTATTATTCAAAATCTGCCCTTATGAATAAACATGTTGTGACGTGCATCGGGTTCCCCAGTGACTTAAAGCTTTTCATATATCCCAGAACAACCAGCCTAATTAAAATCTATGGGAGATCCCTCAAATATCTGGTGAAATATGAATATAAACACTGATTCCTCTGCAAATGGATTTATTTCTATTAAACTGTAAGGATCTCTCTAGAGCAGCGGTTCTCAACGTTTGTGTGACGGCGACCCCCGTCACACGGACGCGGCGCGCATGCGCGGTGGCACCCCCATGTGCGGCACGCATGCGCGGTGGCGCCCACATGCACGGCGCGCATGCGCGGTGGCGCCCCCATGCGCAGCGCGCATGTGCGGCGGCGCCCCCTGCGGGGGAAAAATGGTGGATCGCGTTGTTTGGCGACCCCCGCAAAATGATCGTTCGACCCCAAATGGGGTCGCGACCCATAGGTTGAGAACCGCTGCTCTAGAGCAGGGGTAGGCCACCTTGGCTCTTTTATGACTGGTGGACTTCAACTCCCAGAATTCCTGAGCCAGCATGGGGGAACTATGGCCCCCTTCATGGCTTGTGGACTTCAACTCCCAGAATTCCTGAGCCTGCCTGGCTCAGCTTGGAAACCTCTCCCTTTCCCCTCAGCATGGCTGGCTGAGGAATTCTGGGAGTTGAAGTCCACCAGTCATGAAGGGGCCAAGGTTGCCTACCCCTGGCCTAGAGCATAAGACATAACGATAATTTCACATTTAGAGGATTAGAAACGGTTCCTTTCTTCTTTTTCTTGCATTCCTTTCTAGCAGGAATCGGGAAGAACAAGTTTAAGAGAATGACCATCCAGATCCTTCATTCTGCTAGTCCTCTACTTACTTGAATTCATTTAGTGACCGTTCAAAGTTACAACAGCAGTGGGGGAAAAATGGTGTTATCGCCATTATCCACACTTTCGGCTGTTGTAGCATCCCCACGGTCACGTGATCGAAATTCAGATGCCCGGCGACTGACTCATATTTATGACGGTCGCACTGTCCCGGGGGGCTCACGTGATCCCCTTTTGCGACCTTCTGACAAGCAAAGTCAACAGGGAAGCCGGATTCACTTAACAACGGTGTTCCTAACTTAACAGCTGAAGCAGAGGTCTTCAAACTTGGCCCTTTTATGACTTGTGGACTTCAACTCCCAGAATCCCTCAGCCAGCATGAGGGAACTATGACCCTTTTATGACTTGTGGACTTCAACTCCCAGAATTCCTCAGCCAGCGTGCCTGGCTGAGGAATTCTGGGAGTTGAAGTCCACAAGACATAAAAGGGCCAAGCTTGAAGACCCCTGGGCTAAAGGGATTCCCTTCACAACGGTGGCTAGAAAGATCGTAAAACGGGTCAAAATTCACCTCATAACTGTCTTTCTTGGCAACATAAATTTTGGGCTCCATTGTGGTCGGGAGGCGAGAACTACCTGGGTTAAGGTCTGATCGCCAAATCTTAAAAGTGGACTTGGCCGAAGTCTGTAGTGGCCATGCAGAAGATCATTGTTATCCCACAGTGTTTAGTGAGGTATTTTGATTTCTGCTTCACATTAAAGAAAGCCTAGAGCAGGGGTGGGCAACCTTGGCTCTTTTATGACTCGTGGACTTCAACTCCCAGAATTCCTGAGCCAGCATGGGGGAACTATGGCCCCCTCATGACTGGCGGACTTCAACTCCCAGAATTCCTGAGCCAGCATGGGGGAATTATGGCCCCCTTCATGACTCGTGGACTTCAACTCCCAGAATTCCTGAGCCAGCCTGGCTCAGCTTGGAAACCTCTCCCTTTTCCCTCAGTGTGGCTGGCTCAGGAATTCTGGGAGTTGAAGTCCATAAGTCATAAAAGAGCCAAGGTTGCCTACCCTTGGCCTAGAGGTTTAGAGCTCATTCTGAACCAGCCTGCTTGGCTTGTTTTTAAAACCCAAATCAAGGAGAAGATGAGGGACTTTCACAGAGTTTCCAAGCTCTTCTTGCTGTGAAAGTCTCCGACTTGGGATCTCCATCCTGGAGTCTGCTGCCACCCAGACGAGGTGACACCTTCAATGTCTCTGGAGATTCTCAGACGATCCAGCTCACGGTGGTCCCAAAAGTGCTTTTTCAAAAGTCAACTGGACTTTCTTGGAGACGTTTGGCTTCTCATCCAAGAAGCTTCTTCAGTTCTGACTGAAGGGTGGAGGATGGAAAGATTTATATTCCTTGCAAGTCCTCTGGTCGTTAGTACTCTTCCTGAGAGTCGTTGAGACCACTTGGAGGTTCATCTGCACCCTCGGGGCCACCTGAGTGGCGCAAATGGGTGTGGAGCCTTCTTGGAGCTTCTGAAAGGACTAGGTCAGGGGTAGGCCACCTTGGCTCTTTGATGACTTGTGGACTTCAACTCCCAGAATTCCTCAGCCAGCGTACCTGGCTGAGGAATTCTGGGAGTTGAAGTCCACAAGTCATCAAAGAGCCAAGGTTGTCTACCCCTGGAGTAGGTTGTAGACAAGAGAAGGGTGGTGTCGTATCCCCCCACCATTGAAAGAGGACTGTTCAGTGTTCATATAGATGGCCTCTTTGACTATTCTTTCAACACAGCAGTCCTCTCTATCCAGATCGTGGACTTTCGCTTCTTTTAGTTGTTCGGATATTCCTTTTCGTATCAGTTTGGGTGTTATTAAGCCAGCTTGTTCTTGGCTTGCCCCTTCTTCTTGTTCCACTAACCATTCCTAGCCCCATTGTCTTCTCCAATGAATTTGCATGCATGACACGGCCCAAGTAAATCAGACGTAGTCTTGTGATTTGGGTTTCCAGGGATGTGTCTGGTTTTACACAATTCAGCACCTCTCTGTTGCTTTGCTCTGAGTGCCCACGGGAGACACAATAATTTACGCCAGCAGCACTGTTCAATTCTTCTTCGACCAGCTATTCTTAGCGTCCAGTTCTCACACCCAGACATCATTATAAGGAAGACCATTGCTCTAATTAGCCTGCTTTTTAAAAAAAATTTAAATCAGTATCTCTGCTTTTCCAAATCTTATTCAGGTTTCACCCTTGCAATGCAGCCTAACGTTATCCTGCGTTGGATTTCAGGTGTAGAATGGCCGTTGTGAACAATTTTGGATCCCAGGAAGATAAATTCTCGAACTCATTCAGTTTCCTTCTTGTTGATTTTAAGCATCTCGTGTCCATCTGCACCTTGAGCTAATAGCAGAGCTTAAAATCCCTTTATTTAATGCAAAGTTCAATATCTCTGGATCCAGTTGCCTGGGCACCTGAGCGTTGTCCTGATTCTTGGCAAAAAATAAAATCTTCCCGAAAAAAAACAGTGATCTTACCTGCCCCTTTTCTAGATCTCTTTTAGATCAGGCCAGTTTTAACCCAAGAGCAGTTTGAAATGAATGCTAACAGTGTAAATCCGATCTGCGTTCACTCGCTAGGCTGTCTAGTAATTTCTTCGCAAAATCAAAAGCCAAATGCTTTAGAAAGTTGTACTATAATTAAAAGGAAAGAAAATGCTTACAAAGGAAAAAAAAATACAACAGCAATCACATTTTATCGCTCTTATTCCAGCAATGTATATATTTTAATCCTCAAAAATACAATTATTAATTCAGGCAAAGCATGTTCTTTAATAACTCAGTAATAGATTTTTACCTTGGAATTCTTGGCATAGTAAAGGGTTCGGCCCCGGAGTTTAAAGTAGCGTCTTTTCCATCTCTGAAAAGAGCTGGTTTGTTTCAACAGCAGACCTTCCCTTATACTGGTCTTAAAACAGAAAGAAAAAGAATATATTAAAATTCTACCCATGACTAAATAGTTATATATAACATATAATTATTTTCTGTCTCTTCTGTTCTCGGCAGATAATATTCCGAAGCGATGGCTTAATAGTGCGTTTAATTATAGCTGTTAGAGCAATCTAGCAATTTGAACTATTTTTAAATCTGCTTTGGTTGTTCTGGCTGTTTATATTAGTTTTAGGTGGGTTTTGATTTCTGGAAGTGGGGGGGGAGGGCTTGCATTTATGTTGTCTATCAAATTCCCAACGGATTTGATGGTTGGTTCTTTTTAATAAAAAGAGAATATAAGCTGCCTATTCTGAAAACATAATTATTTAGTAGTCGTCTTAGTAGTAGTGGGAGGAGGAAGGGGAAGAGGAGGAGGGGGAGGGAGGGAGGGAGGGAAGAAGGGAAAGAAGGAAGGAAGGAAGGGAACAGAAAGAGAAGAAAGGAGAAGGAGGAGGAGAGAAGAAAGTAGAAGAGAGGAGGAGGAGGGAGGGAAGAAGGGAAGGAAGGAAGGAAGGAAGGAAGGAAGGAAGGAAGGAGAACAGAAAGAGAAGAAAGGAGGAGGAGGAGAGAAGAAAGGAGAAGAGAGGAGGAGGAGGGAGGGAAGAAGGGGAAGAAGGGAAAGAAGGAAGGAAGGAAGGAAGGAGAACAGAAAGAGGAGGAGGTGGAGGAAAGAAGAAAGTAGAAGAGAGGAGGAGGAGGAGGGAGGGAAGAAGGGAAGGAAGGAAGGAAGGAAGGAAGGAAGGAAGGAAGGAAGGGAACAGAAAGAGAAGAAAGGAGAAGGAGGAGGAGGAGAGAAGAAAGTAGAAGAGAGGAGGAGGAGGAGGGAGGGAGGGAAGAAGGGAAAGAAGGAAGGAAGGAAGGAAGGAAGGAAGGAAGGAAGGAAGGAAGGAAGGAAGGAAGGAAGGAGGAGAACAGAAAGAGAAGAAAGTAGAAGAGAGGAGGAGGAGGAGGGAGGGAGGGACGGAAGAAGGGAAAGAAGAAAGGAAGAAAGGAAGGAAAGAAGGAGGGAGGGAGGGAGGGGAGAACAGAAGGAGAAGAAAGGAGGAGGAGGAGGAGGAGGAGGAGGAGGAGGAGGAGGAGGAGGAGGAGGAGAGAAGAAAGTAGAAGAGAGGAGGAGGAGGAGGAGGGAGGGAGGGAAGAAGGGAAGGAAGGAAGGAAGGAAGGGAGGAGAACAGAAAGAGAAAAAATGAGGAGGAGGAGGGAGGGAGGAAAGAAGGGAAAGAAAGAAGGAAGGAAGGAAGGAAGGAAGGAAGGAAGGAAGGAAGGAAGGAAGGAAGGAAGGAAGGAAGGAGAACAGAAGAAGAAAGGAGGAGGAGCAGGAGCAGGAACAGGAGAATTGCTTTGGTACAAGATGTTATTTTCCAACACAGAGCACCATCTCTTTGTAAAAGAATAGAAGTGCAGGCAATTCTCACAAGATGGCAGTATTGATTAATGAACAAAGTTGAAGTTACTTACAAGTTACACCCACTTCCCATTTTGGGTTGTTTTGCCCATGTAAACACATGTAACCAAACTCTTTAAGTTGCCAACTAAAGAAAATGCAGCATTATGATATTTTCACCGTAGGATTGTGTAACATTATCTCTTTACGGAGGCACAAAGTCACGGACTCCGTAAAGCATTGCTCTGTTGTCATTTTGCAAGTGAAAGAATAAGGAAAGAGGAACTGTTTTATCCAATGGCCTGCGAACGAGTCTTTCTCTGAAAATACATTACAAATTTCAGGTGAGGACTTTTAGTAATAAACCACGGAGCTTTTTTTATTCAGACAACCTTAAAACTTGCTCAGAAAGACCATGTGTCAAATTTTCACTTTCGGCCCTTGCAAAAAAAAAAAAAAAAGCCGAAGTTCCAGAAAAATATCCAAATATGGATATTTGTAGGAGTGTTTCCTTTCCAGTGATGTAACAAGTACACATCCAGTCTAAACTATTTTAAAAAAAAAAAAACAACCCAATCATCCTTTCCCCCAGATTTTAAATTAACCGGTTCAACTTAGTTTAATCCATAAAACAAATCATCGGATTGCTAATTCTAAAGAGCAAGGCCGAGTCCTAATTAGCAAATTTGTTTCTCTTCAGCCTTAGCCCATTCTTGGCACTGTCACAAGAACTCAGAAAATGTTTTGTTTGTTCTAGAGTTTTGGACCGCTGCCTTCTCATTAAGTAATAAATAATCAGCTCTTGAAGCCTTTTCCTTCTGTGTTTTTATACACAGGAATCTATCCTGATGTTGTCAAGTCATGGATCGAATTCAGAATGACGCCAGGCACAGCAAGAATAAGCTTCAATGTGATCCTAGGCATCGTATTTCAATTCTCAAGCTTCCTCCTTCCGTTATCTATTCAAGATGGACAATATTTAATATTTATTTGCTACGTACATGTAGGGGTGTGGGTCTATACGTATGTTGTTCATAGTATGTTTAGGTGTGTGTCATATACGTGTTTCACTTTGAGAGCGGGCCACTAAATTTCATTTTTGATGTGTGCCGTTGTGCCCACAGTACTGAAATTCAGAAATAAAAAGAACAGAATTCATGTAAGTTCAAATAATAATAATAACAATAAAGGTTGTCTTGTCTTGTCTTGTCTGGTCTTGTCTTATCTTATCTTATAGCACCCAACGATGGCATATTATTCAAGGCGAGATGTACCAATAAAGGAGAATATGTGTAGTGCAGGGTTGAAATGAGGTGGGGGGTGTCTCTGGAATGGGTGGTTTTCTTGCAGACGTTTCATCCCCTGACTAGGTAATATCATCAGCACTAGAAGGGAGTGGAGTTTGTGGAATGAAGAGAAGGAGAAAGAGAAAGAGGAGGAGGGGGGAAGGAGAAGGAGAAGAGAAGAAAGTAGAAGAGAGGAGGAAGAAGGGAGGGAGGGAGAGAGGAGAACAGAAGGAGAAAAGAAAGAAGGAGGAGGAGAGGAGAAGAAGAGAAGAAAGAAGGAGCAAGAGGAGGAGGAGGAGGAAGGAGGGAGGGAGGGAAGGAAGGAGAAGAAGAGAGGAGAAGAAGAAAGGAGGAGGAGCAAGAGGAGGAGGAGGAAGGAGGGAGGGAGGGAAGGAAGGAGAAGAAGAGAGAAGAAAGGAGGAGCAAGAGGAGGAGGAAGGAAGGAAGGAAAGAGGGAGGGAAGGAAGGAGAAGAGAGAAGAAAGGAGGAGCAAGAGGAGGAGGAAGGAAGGAAGGAAAGAGGGAGGGAAGGAAGGAGGAGGAAGGAAGGAAGGAAAGAGGGAGGGAAGGAAGGAAGAAGAAGAGGGAGCAAGAGGAGGAGGAGGAAGGAAGGAAGGAAAGAGGGAGAAGAAGAAAGGAGGAGGAGGAAGAGAATAAAGAAGGAGGAAAAGGAGAGGAAGAAAGAGAAAGAGAAGAAAAGAAAGGAGGAGGCAGAGGAGGAGGAGGGGAAGGAGAAGGTGAAGAGAAGAAAGGATGAGGAGGAGGAGGAGGAGAAGGAGAAGGAGAGACAGAAGAAGGCAAAGGAGATAGAGATGGAGAAGGAGAAAGAGAAGAAGGAGAAAGAGAGAGAAGGAGAGAGAGAAGGGGAAGAAGGAGAAAGAGCAGAAGGAGAAGGAGAGAAAGGAGGAGGAAGAGGCACCACAAAAATCCACCGAAGGTGCTTTGACAATCAAGATGGCAGCCAATCATGTTCCAATCAAAGCTTTGATTGATCTGCACGGTGAATGCACCACATTAAACAAGGATAGACAATTGATGTTGAAACAGAATTTACTTTGTGTGTGTGTGTGTGTGTGTGTGTGTGGACTCTGTATGGATGCTCCCAGGTGAAAGTAAAGGGGGGAAAAAAGCCCACAACAGAATAGACGAACAGTGCTTTTATCAGATTCCTTAAAAGCCACCCCAAGGATCTCATTATACTTTATATTCTCTGAAGAACTCATTAGCTTATTAGTCCCCTTGGCTTGCATTTCCAGATCAGATGCTTTTTTCGTTGCAACATTCAACCGACGAGAGGGTCACGAGCAAAAGAAAGGGAACCGGATTATTATTACTTTTTTTAAATACGTGAGATCGCTTCAAAAGTTTGCTAGATCTGCAAGACCTCTTTAAGGCCCGGAATAGAACGCAAACTGGTTCTCAAACGAGTTTATTTTAGAACAGAACAATGCAAGTGGAAGGAAAAGCAGAACTGCGTAATTTTTTTCAGACGGGGCCCGGATGATCGAATGGGATCGAGTCATTTCATAAGGAGGAGAAGAAAAAAAACAACACCAAAGTCAAGAGTTTTTGTTCAGCTCAGTCTTTGTTGCATTTAAAACTCACAGTTCACCAATATATTCTATTTCTCATCCTAATAACGCCTCGTAATACTAATAACATATCTCTCATTATCACGTCCATTTCCCTATAACCATTAAGGCTATGAATAAAGAAAGAATTTAAATTTTGGAATAATATGTGTATTTTAGTCACGAGAATTAGTTTATAATGAAATGAGGGAAACTAAACTGATCCGAATTATAAAGAGTGGTTATAAAAGGCTAAATTGGAATATGATAACTGGAATTAAATAAAACCTAAAAACAGGACTTGGATATGTATAACTAAAATGTTATTGATAAATATATGGATTGATTGAACTTTAGCTAGAAATGTACTAATATGAATGTGATATAATACCTAAGAGGGAACTTTTATTGATGTAAACTGAGATATCTATGTATCACTCTGTTATTGGATTATTGATTACCCTATCACCACGCTGCTTCCTAATTACCTGGTTGTTAACATTTGAAAAATTAATAAAATTTGTTTAAAAAAAAACCTCACAGTTCTTTTTTTTTAATTATTTCATTACTGTGGTGAAAATAATTTAATCTGGATCCAACTGGTGATTTCAGGTGCCAAAAGACATACAGTAAGATTGGGTTCAAGAGAGAAACGGAGATTGCTCACCCGTTCACCTGCGATCAACACAGTTAGTAAATTACGAAAGCCAATTTATGCTTTCGTTTATGTCGGAAGGAAAGCAACCGGGAGCATTTGCAACACAGAAATTTTCCACACGACTTGGAAGACAACAGGAGAAGAACATTTTGC